CCTGAAAAAATTAGAACTGTATCTTCTCGGATGACCAAGATATGAAGAATAACGAGTTTATTCATGTTACGTGTGATCAGGTGATTGGTTTACCTAATCATGTGATTAGGTGACCCCGTTAACCACCCCATTAAACATTATGGGAATTGTTAAGGGTGCCCAATTAAGGTGTCGTGTCACGGTGTCACACAATCACCCAGTCAATTTTGTTAACGAGATACAAAAAATGCTAGATAACTTCGTCATTTCTAATCCGTTTTGCCTCATGTTTTCCGATCATATGCAACATTTAATAATCTACCGTCTCTGAAAAAATTAGGCGTTCAGCATGTTCAGAAAAAACAATATAGGTGTTTTAATATTGAATGGGTGTGGTCTAAAATATTCGAATTTTCAAATTTTGACGATGGAATCCTCGAACCAGTAGGTACAGTACGCTATCTGCAAAGCAACAGCTCTCAAATATAAAACACGGCAGAGCTATTAAGGCCAACGTATGCCCACTGACTTTTGGCCCACCCTGTATATAAATATGAAATCATCTAACAACTACTATCTTATTTAAACCCCAAATCTTAGTCCTAAATTTATCAATCAATCTGGCCTCTTCTCTATTTAAATCCAGTCGCTTCACTTTCTTAACAATTCCTAATTTATAAATTGACATGTTAAAGGAGGATCTATGGGTCAAAAAACAATGTATTGAAAGGGCCGATTTCTCATAAGTCAAAGAACTGTCTATCTTAAATTTATTTCTGTGGTCATTCATCCGCTCATGCATGGGGGAAACAGACTGTCCAAAATAGATGTCCACCTTCAATTCTTGGGGCAAACTGCTACAAAGGGTACACTGTGCAATGTATGTGATGCTTTTGCTTTTGCAATTGAGTTTGTAATCCAAGCGTAGTTCCTCCCCATTAACCAAAATCTTCTCATCTGAATTAAACAAGTAAGGACAAGTTTTACATCCTCTTCCTCCACACTTCTGGTCCTTAACTGATTCAACTTCTTCAACAGTTAAACTTGTTCTCGGACCCTCACTCAATCTCCTATTCCTGACTACTACTCTCCCTCCAGCGTCATTTTCTATACTGGGGCCTTGTCCTCGAACACTAGGAGTTGCTCTGGCAAGTTTGCTCATGATAATGGGCTGGATTGTGTTCATTGTTGCCACCAGCTTGTAGAGAAGGACTGTCAGGATAATCAGGAGGATTACTGAGACAGTCCCGAACACAATTATCAGAGTTAAATACAGTTCTGAAAATAATTACATGTTATTTATTTATTTGTTATCGTATTAGCCTATACTATTGTAATTTATAAGAGTTGCCTGCTTTAGATTATAATTAACTAGAAAACCCGTGGCTACAGGAAAGAAGCTAATAGTATTTTTTATTAGTGAGTTTAAATCGCGTCAAAAAATATCCTACACAACCGAAGATACAGCCGATTAAAATGTGGCTCGCACTAAACACAACGTGATATCAACAAAACCGATAAAAATTCCGTTTTAACAACCTTTGCACGTGCATTTGTGCATTAAAACACTGTTGCTATGGAACCTTTGGGTTGTTACCTAAATTCCTATTTTTCATCTAATTTGCACGTGGGCGGTCGTACAGTGTACAGTGTACAAAAACAATTCTCTGAATTATAGTAGAGATAATAATCTGGGGCTTGTCACTGTGTTTCCGAATCATTGAATATCCCCTATAGTATTCGGTAGTATTCGGTATTCAGTAACAATGTGTTTGATACAGAAGCTTCCAGTGTTCAGTTAGCAGCTTTCTTCCATCCCTAAAGTTTGGACCCTTACCATTTGGCATGCAATCAAGATTGATTAAGTTGCATATTCAAACTTTGCTATCAATTGGTCATATTAGCAGAAACCTGTCTAACATTAAAATTGTCAGAATCATCTCATTAAGTGTGATAATTGTAACTCGCGAGATTACTAGCATGGTAAAATTGGATTTGTGGCAATTTCTCAAAAACTAAGTTTCATAGGCCTTAAGTATGTTCATAGCACTACTATAAAAATGCATCTTAGGCGCATTTTGGTTCATGCCTGAAGTCTGTATCTTAATCAGAGGCTGAGATAATTTATAGCTGGGGTTGTGATATGGGTGCGGTCAAAAAGGGGCGTGATTCCGAGAAATGCCCCACTGGTGAAAAAGTGTACCCGAGTATATAGTGTTATTTAGAAGAAAACTTTGCGTGCAGGACCTTTGCCAGGTACACGATTATAATGTTGTGTCTAGAGATATAACAATATTTATTAATTTTTTGAATGATATTGTTGGGACATGGGTCATTGATATACCAAACCAATTAAATGATATTTTAGTCGGAATATTCTTGTTAACGTTAAAAAACTTTAAATTTATGTGTGGGATGGAAGTGCAAATTGTACATCACAGATTTAAAAAGAACAATTATTATTTATCAATAAATACGGTCTGTGCTAGGTAAATTTAACTTACTCTTGCTACCTTTGTGACCGGTGACCAGGATTTCTAGTCGCTTTTCCAGGTTGGTCTTTGTTGCTACTAGATCTCGCGTGGTTCTGTCTAGTTCCTGCTTTGTTCTGTCTAGTTCCTCTCGAGTAGTGGTGAGAGAGTTCGTAAGATTATCCAAGGAAGTCTTTGTTGCAGCTAACTCTTGCTTGTTGGTCTTTGTTGCTACTAGATCTTGTGTGGTTCTGTCTAGTTCCTGCTTTGTTCTGTCTAGTTCCTCTTGGGTAGTGGTAAGAGAGTTCGTAAGATTATCCAAGGAAGTCTTTGTTGCAGCTAACTCTTGCTTGTTGTTGATCACTGTTTTAGCGAGATAATTACATCCAGATGGGATCTTTGTTATTGATCCTTTTTTTTCACTTTGCACTATCTCCTCCCAACTTAGAATTCTAATAGGGGCGAGTAGCTCCTCCTCCAAAGAGCACATGTCTGATGACATTCTTTGTATTTCAGATGAACTGAGGACTCTACTATAAATGCTCAACTTGAACATATCACCCCCAAAGTTGTGAGATGAATGCTTTATAACCTGAGCAGTACTTTCCTCCCCCTCAGCATTGACATGGGAAAGTATAACAGAAAAAATGATCAAGATCAGGAGCATGTTGTAGAGGGTTTGAGTTGTCAAGATAATACTTAGATTGATGTGTGTCACCAAAATAAAGCGACTCAGGCTAATCTTGAAACAGCACTCCAACAGTCTTGATCAGACTCTAACTTCTGTTATTAGTCAAACCTATTAATAGTTGACCATGTTATAAATCTTATAATAGATGATGTTTTAAGAAAACCATAACTAATCAATGCTTGATACATAAATACATACGTATATCAAAATATGTAAATTAAAAATTGAAATTATAATAAAAACTTAAGGTTGCCCTGGCTATGAATTCTGAGTTTTAAAGTAACAGTAGCCTTTAAAGAAAGCATTTGCACTGATAGATTAACTGATTAGATATATTAGAAAAGTGTCTGAATAAAGTGTCAATCAGTTGCAATAATACTTTCTACATTTACCAATTATGGTGGCCCATGACTGCTAAAGTGTTTTTTCAACAAAAAAAGACGTTCCAAAAAATCTAAAACAAAATAAAAAACTTAAAATTTTACCCCAGTAAAATTTAAAAAAACTTTGGTTTCGTTTTAATTTGAAATGAAAACTGAAAAGCTCTGATAAAATAATAAATTGCATGTTGTTTCGTAGACCGACCCCACTTGTGAACCCTCAGTGCAAATATGTAAAACAATGAACAAAGGAACAACAAGGGCCCAGTGTTAGAATGGCCTCAACTAAGGTGCTTATCTCCTTTTCAGAAACTCTAAGCCAAGGCACTGTACTGATATTCTTGTATACGAGCCAGGGAGTGTGTATAATCAGCAGCTGAAGCTGTACCAATTAGCAGCTTGGTGACTGGCCGACTTGCATCAGATCAGATTTGAACCTGGGACCTTCTGCATGGGAGACAATCCACTTCATTACCCAGCTGTAAAAGGATCATATTTTTTATAAACATTTGATGAAGCGTCTCTAAAACCTAAAAGGTCAAGTGGTCAAACTTTGAAAAGTCTCTGCAAGTAAACATTGTTACGAGCGAAGAATCAATTAGTAGCCGGGTAATGGTTACTCAAAAATGATGCCTTCCTCTGAATCTCCTTGCTATAAAGCAGCGTAAAAAGGTTAGCATCAGATGACTGTGTTCCGAGTTTTATATTGATGTGATGCAGCTACAGGCAACTATCTACTCACAAACATGTTTCAACCTACCAGGCAATATTATCTCCTTATTTGGATATAACAAACCGATATACGAGAATTCCGGCTACATAGTTGGAGCTTCATTTTTACTTCTTGGCTCTGCACGTGTCTCACCAAGATATTATGTTTTAACCAACTAGGCATTATCTTACACAGCCCTCCCCATCTTCCTGTTCATCAAGATCGAAATTTTGAATTTTCTCCTGGGACTGGGTCAGATTCAGTTCATCCTCCAATACATGATATTATGACTCATCCGCCATAGTGCACTTGTATGATGTATATAATAGTAATGTATACAGCGTACACACTGCATACAAAGTACACGGTAGCAGCAAACTAAAAGAAAGACTAACTGATAAGCCAGAGCAGCGGTTTTAACACACAACCTAAACACATTATATACTGCTTATTAAATTTTGATTTATTTTAATTAAATTCAGTCGGGACCTGAGTATATCTATGAATCCAGTAACTTTTTTGGATCAGATACATGAAACTTAAAGTTGGATGAAAAAGTTATGACTCCATTAAGTTTTTCACTAAACTGCTTCAAGCAATTAAATTTCATGCAAAATACAATTGACATTCTTCAACTCCTTTAGAAATATAATTCTCACCGAGTTAATACATTTTAATAACTTTCAGCACTTTGTCTTATAATACAAGTTGGTGGTAGTTCAGTCAAACAAAAATTTGATGAAGTTAATGAAAAAGATTGTTATTTTTAGGAATGCCAAAAAACACAGAGTTGTTCAACCCTGGTTGCCCACTTGTGGCATTTGGTACTTCAAGCGATCAAAAGGAAAAACTGGGAGAAGTGCTGAAGTTTGGGGTTCAGTGTGGATTTCGAGTTTTAAATATGAGTGATGAACACAATAATGAAACTTCTGTAGGAATGTCTTTAAAATCACTTATTACAGGTATGCAGATACTTCGCCTGTTTTTCGTCTCAATTATTTTCATCTATATTCGTGAGATTTATTCTGACCAAATTTGCATTTTAGTCAGTGGAATATCTCTATCTGATTAAAGGACCTTTGTGCAATGTGAAAAAATACTTATGTTTCAATTTCAGGTGGATTCATAGCCAGGCAAGACCTTTTCATATCATTCAAGATGACGAAAATTCAAAATCTCAGACAGTTGGAAGAGCACATTTCAAAGCATCTGACTGCAAGAAGCTTAACTTACTTTGATCTTTTTGTTATCGAAAACTCCGCTTTTGTAGAGGAAAATATTCTCAAAATATGGAGGACATTAGAAAATTTACATTTATCTAGATTATTGCGCAACATTGGTCTATCTGGATTCCCCAGAAAACAAATTGAAAATATTTTATCTGTGGCTGTTATCAAGCCATTTGCTATTCAAGACATTTTCAACCCATTTTCTTCAAACAATGAGATTAGTCAGTTTTGCCAAATTCATGATTTGCTCCTTATTGGAATGTCTCCACTCGATAATCTGAGTTCAAAGGGGAAATTATTAACAAATAGCTTTGTCACTGAAATAGCTAGAAATCACAATGCAAGTCCAGCACAAACTTTATTGGCATGGGCAATTCAAAGTCAAACATTACCTGTCGTGCAGACATTAAACACTGACCATGTCAAGGAAAACATCATGCTATCAGACTTGAAGCTATCTGAAAAGGAAATGAGGGATATCTGTCAATTAACTCAAACTAAATAGTACTTGCCCTTTAAAATATTTCAATGAAAACTGCTATGGATTATAAATTTTATTACATGAATATTTTAAATAGGTATTGCAGTAGCTGGATATAATGTAGATAAAGATTGATGTAAATATTATACTATACTATTTGTGGAATATTGGGATTTTGATTTTTGGGCGGGATTAGTTGACATTTTACATACTATTCGAATTTAAAGTTCAGCTTAAGAATTTGTCATCAATTATATGACATAATATGATTAGGATGAAACCATAACTACATTTATCTGAATTAATAGTACTTATCCTATATCTTGAGAATGGATAAAGATACACCATGGATGGAAGAAGCATTTGCCATGGCAGAAGAGGCATTGCAAGAAGAAGAGGTACCTGTTGGGTGTGTGTTTGTAAAAAGTGATACCATCATTTCCCGGGGAAGAAATGAAGTCAACGAAACCAAGAACGCCACTAAGCATGCTGAAATGGTAGCATTAGCACAGCTCAGGAGATCAGTTCAACAGAACTGCAAAGTATGTACCAAGACTGACCAAAATATTATACAATTTGAAGAGAAATCTCCTGTAACAACATGTAGTTGTGAGGATACATTCAGACGAGAAGTAGCAGACTGCACAGTGTATGTAACTTGTGAACCATGCATCATGTGCGCGGCCGCACTGAGAATGTGTGGTATTTGTAATGTTGTGTTTGGGTGCTGTAATGACAGATTTGGTGGCAATGGATCAGTTTTATCAGTACATAACAGCTACTCTTCTCTTATGAAGGCTTATCAGGTGGAATCTGGTGCCCAAGCGGAGAGGGCCATGTCTTTGCTCACACAGTTTTATAAGAACGAGAACAAAAATGCTCCAGAACACAAACGAAAATTTAAGCCATCTTGAGTTTAACGTTTAATGAATAATAATTATTTATTGTGCTTTTATTTCAATTTTTTTCAATCTGACACAGATCAGCTATTAAACAATAAGCTTTCAGTAGCCAGTAGCCACCAGTAAAATCCCCAGTTCACTATCACAACAAATGTTACTCACTCTTGAACATACCAGTATAATAAGAGTCTATAATTTAAGTACATGTGGTACTCATTACTCGAGGCATTTTTAAATTTTATTATTTGATATCGAACTTTAGAACACTTATTGATGGGCTGCGTTGTTTTGACTGCTTTTAATTTTGTATGATTCTTTTAACTTATTCATTAAATTTAAATTTAAAATCATCGAGTTCTATTGATTCCTTATTCAGCACTAATGTTCACCAGTTCTATCAATTAAATATATTCTTAGATTACCTGGTGTCAACAGATTTCCAATTACAATTTAAATGTTACTCAACACCGACTCTTTTGTCCATAACTTGAACAACTTATCAAAATTGATTTGAAAAAGCTTATTTACTATTTGCTGTAGATAATTTTCAACTTGTAAAGTTGTAACACTACACCTCCGCAAGATACCTATGTAGCAGTTACAAGAAGAAAAGAAGAAAAAAGAGGAGATGAGTTGTACAGGGTACACTCCCCTAACTAAAACTGTTATTCTCCCTGCTGTGGGGAAACCACCTCCAGTCAATGGGTAGGTTCTTATTTTCTGTTTTCTGCTTTTTTCAACCACGATTTATCGTGCTTTATTTTTGACTTGATTTTAGAAGTGAGTTAGAAAAACAAAATTGATCCTATTCCAGGACGGTTAAAATCCACATCAAGCAGATGCTAACAGATGGGAAAGTGCTGTCAGATTCTCTCCTGAACCATCCTAGTGGGCATGAGATAGACTTAACCAACAGTGAGCATATTATAATCAGAATAATATCTTATCCATAGTATCTGCCATCGCAATGAAACTTCTTGTTGTTAAATTTAAAGCTGGCAAAGATAGAAAACAAACGATAGATTCTTGTCGACTTTAGACCGTTATCACATAAATATATTTGAGCTTTTCATCTTCAATCAAAACAAACTATTTGCATTATGGAGCCAAGTTGTGTACTGGCTTCGTAACACCTGATTAAAAAGCCCCCATCCCTTTACATGATGCTGAGCAATAAATATGATACATTTGTAGTGTTGTAATTAGTTTAAATTAATGTACAATTGTTTCAGCTCACGTATTGTCCTCGCTGATAGACGAGTTAATGACGATGGTGCCTGGTGAGATATCTCAGTACAGGTGTAGACAGGAGGACATGGAAAGTGGTCTTTTCTCTGTTGACCTCCCTTCCGGTCAGGATCTAGTTATTGAGGTACATGTAATATGAGGTGATATTGTTATTACGTATTTGTTAGCTAGTTTATTTGTGAACAATACTGATAGTAGAATGTGTACTTACTTTACTTTGGGCGATGCTCGATCGAAATCTCCTCCACTCTACGTCTCCAGATGGTTCTGTCGCACATAACTGTTCGGAGATCTTCTACCCGCAACCCTGTGTCTCTGGCTACGGTGTCAAGAAAAGAGAGTGGTCTCCTCCCACGCCTGAACTGTGGCAGCCGCCAAGGAAGGATGGTAGAGATGACCTGGTCTGAAGCTCTCATGCAATGCCCAGCAAATCTGGCACGTCTCTGTGCAACGATGGTGGAGATGGAAGGGAGGTCACCATAGATTTGCTTTAGGGTTGGATGCTTCTTCCATGAAAGATTCCTGGCTTTCATTAGGAGCCTGGTGTAGCACCCGTCGAGACGCTTCTCAAACTGCTTGTTCAAGGTCCAGGTTTCTGAGCCATACAGCAGAACAGGTTCGATGCATGCTCTGAAGAACTTGACTTTCAGCTGGTCAGAAATGCCAGAGGTCCATACCTTCTGCAGTTTGATACAAGCTGACCAAGCCATGCCTTTCCTGGTGTTGAAGTCCTTCCTGCTCTCTGCAATATATGAGCCCAAGTATTTGAAGTCATCAACCTGCTTGATCTGGTAACCGGATATTGAGTTCACGGGGGCAGCATCAGGAATGTTGATGGTCATGTATTCGGTCTTGGAAGCATTCATCGCAAGTCCGACATGTGCTGCTGCAGTCTCTAAATCCGAGAGCAGTTGCTGGACTTGCTCTATGGTATCGGCAGTCAAGGCCAGGTCGTCAGCGAAGTCAAGATCTGTGACTCTGACCGCAGGTACTCTCCGACTTTGCCTGGGGATGATGGTTAGGCCATGGTCAAGAGTCATGCAGTTCCTAAGGACATAATCGAGGACGATGATGAAGAGGAAAGGAGCGAGTGTATCACCCTGAAGGACCCCGATGAGTGTTCTAAAGAAGTCTGTAAGGCCGTCAATGGTTTTGACTCTGGAGTGCGATGAGTCATACAGGAGCCTGATAGCATCAGTTATGGGAGCAGGGACGCCGTAGAGGGAGAGGATGTGAAACAAGGCATCCCTGTAGAATGTGTGATGGCAGTTAAATTTGAAAGTTTGTAGATTGTAGTTGGTACTGTTTGTTATTACAGAATTTACAGGATACACCTACATAGGGTGATGAGTAGCATTATTATACTAACATTCAGTTTTATCATAGCTCTTATTTACAAAACAACCCCTGGTCTGCCCCAGTATAAGATCTTGAATATACTACTAATATATTATTTATTATATCATCCTCTCTCACCAGTAACCATGCTTCTCAGGTGGAAATGTTGGACTGGTCAGGACAAGACATCTCACCCGCTCAGAACAAGTCGCTAAGGAAGAGTATAATGGAGGAGGGGAACTCTAAGGGGAAACCTTGCTGGACTGGCAAATGTTTAGGTTAGTTGTGGTGCTATTTATTTTCATTATCTTAACTCGGTTTGTACGATATACTATTTTGTTAAAAATGTAGATCATACATATTATTTTTACTGATCACCTTAAATTTATGTAACGAATTTATCAATTTCAGTGTCAATCGAGAGCGAGGGAAGTGCAGCGAAAGAGACCCTATTCCGTTTAGGAGATGGTGACTCTTACAACGTCCCCTACCCTGTGGAATTGTGCACTCTGACCATGACACGGAACGAAACGTGTTTACTCGAAACCCCCGACTCTAATATAACACTGAAACTGTTATCATTCGAGAAGGAGAAAGCTCTTTATAAGATGACAACTGAGGAAGTTATGGGCAGTGTGCAGGAGCTGAAAGTTCGTGGAAACAACGCGTATAAAGCTAATAAGTTGAGACTGGCTAAGCTGTATTACGAGCGGTGTATGACGTATATTGATAGTGTTGCTAAGAGTGAACAAGACGATCAGTGCACCGAGATAATGGCAGCATGTAATCTCAACCTGGCACAAGTTTACCTGAAAATGGAGGACTATCCTAAAGCTGTGTCTTACTGCACCACTGTTCTTTGGACCCAGCCCAAGTGTGTTAAAGCGCTGTACCGGCGCGCTGTAGGGCATAACGCGCTGTGCTCTCATGACGAGGCTGTCAAAGATCTGACCACATTACTGGACCAAGAGCCTGGTAACAAGGAAGCAGGGAAGCTGCTTCAAAAGGTGCGGTCTCACAAATTGAGCAAGGCACAGAAAGAGTCCTATCTCATGATATCAGTTTTCCAGAAGATAGAGGAGGAGCACGAGAAAGAAGGCTTGAACGGACCTCCTCCAGTATCAGTGTGGGATGCGGCAGAGGAAACGTGCCCACCTGAGCTGGCTTCCATGGACGCTTATAACGAGTACAAGGGGGCACTGGAGGAGGAGGTGAAGAAACAAAAAGAAGAGGCTGCTGCCAGGCAGGCGGAATACGATCTTTTAAACCCACCTAAGAAGAAGAAGAAGAAGAGAAAGAAGAAGAAGAAGCCTGTCCCAGAAGAAGTAACAATCGTAGAAACAGAAGAACTTCTAGTTGATAAGGCAGTTGTGGAGCCGGTACCGGCTGAACCTGACGCGGGTATGGAGTATGAGGTTACCGCGGAGAAAACATTCATCAATAAGATTGAGGATCCAGAACTAGCTAATGTTGTGAACTCCAACCTCGTGGTAAACGGGGATCAAGGGGCAAGTGCTGTAAACCTTAACGATAAGGAAAGTATCCTTGAAAGTGTTAAGATTTTAACAAAAGAAGCTGTTACGTCTTATGAAAACGGTGACGAAGATGCCGTTACAATTGACGGAGCTGTCGCTGATCTGAAAGATATCACGCTCGAGGAGAATGGAGTTGGTGAAGCTAGTGGCTAAAATATTTTAATTTTTACCTTCCTTCAATACAATAACTTAATAATAATAATATATAATTATAATAATAATATAAGGACAACAATTTTTACTTAAATTATTTTTTATTCTTAATATAATTCAGAGGCGAAGATTTTGAATTCAATCACCAACCTTTCAATAATCTGGTTCCTTCGTGATTATCGTTTGATTTTGCTGTTTACAAGTTATAAAAACGCTGGTGGTTGGGTTGAAAAGCGTTCTATTTTATTTTGCCATGCTTCGAAATGGATTTTAATGAATTTAAATTATTTTGCATAGATGCACTTTTTTCCATGTTGGTTTATAAAGTTGTTAATCAAAACATTTTTGATGGCATCGGATGATTTAACAGTTTTACTCGCTTTCAGAGTTGTGAAAATAAAATCGCTTTTGGCCCATTTTTCGGTCACACAAAATATCCAAAGGGTCTTCAAGTCTGTAGGTAAGGCGCATTGAACATTTTGTTATGACTGTAGCGCGCACGTAATAATAAAACTCAAATTTTGTAGATTCAACGAACTACATACGACAGTTGAATTGCCAGCCAAACGGAAAATTTTAAATTTTTAGTCCATTTTACGAATGCCGGCCAGATTAAATCGAAATGAAGACCCCAAATTTGAATCTGCTTTGCCTGAATACTCAATGCGAGCAGGGCTACGCTGCGCAGCACCCAATTCATCCTCTTCACCGTTAATGAAATGAAATGAGGTATTTATATCCCGCTCATATGATATGATTAACCAACAACACAAGGAAGGTGGTTAACCATGTCAGAGCGGCTGACTGTGAGTGATGTGAGCAAATGTGTAAAAAATGAACAAGAGTGTTATGAATACCGAAAATTAGTATTTTGAAGAAGTTACCAGGAGACTTTTTAATTCAAAGTATAACGATGAGACCTTCAGTCATCAACCAATCAGAGATCGTGTCATGTGGTTTGTGTCATCCAATCACTGACAAAGGATGCTGTTGTCTACATCTTATTGTCTACATGTAATAACCAGGTTTGATACAGTTTCATTTGTACGTTACACTCTACAAATCTTTCGAGTGTTGAATGGCAATAGCAACCCCAAGATAGAGACCTTTTTAAATGGCGGATTACGTAAGGCTAATTATAATCAGAGCACAATTAGTGGACTTGTTACGTACATCGACTAACTTTATTTCGTTCATTGGTCACAGTGATTAATCTAACGCAGTCTGGTAATTTATTAAAGGGACATCAAGTGAACAAAGTTTGTCTCTCAGGGTAAGAGTCAGAAACCTACCTTGCTACACGGCGTTATCTCCCTGACCCTCACTACAGCCAAAAACCTCCCTCCAACTCCAATTATACACGGTGTTTTCCAGAAAAAGACAACTGGTACGATTAGGCATATTTCTATATACATAATAATTAAGTAAGTACTAATCCGTCGGCTGCTTCGCATTGATTTTCCATAGTATGCCGACAACTGACATGATTATGGACCCGTCTGTTTGGTATGAAGATGTAAGATATCCATAATCCATATTCCCTAATCGTGAAAATGTCATATCGTTCTTCAAAAAGTATTGATGGTGACTAGTCGCTGTGTTACGCGAGCGTTACATTTTTCCTCAATCACCGATAATGTTTTTTCTTAATTCCCTAAGAAAGTCCTCGATTATTCTTCATACAACAGTCAGTGAATCAGCAACTTGGGCCCTGCCCAACTTGATCAGTATCCATTTCAGATCCCTACGTGAGATTGAGTACTGGGGACACCACTATTCTCACCAGTGCAGTGCTCGAGAACACCAGGAATCCTCGGTGGGACCAGGACTTCCGGGTCGATGTCTGCTGCGCTGAGGCTGAGCTCATGCTGAAGGTCTTTATTATTTGAATCAGCTTTTATTCTTCTTTTTAATTAAACAAGAATTTCGCCGCGGTTAAACCACGCACGATCAATTTTCCCTATGATGTACTTGTATCTTGTAGTTGTACCATAAATTCTTTCGAGTGAAAAGTGTGACCGGAAAAAGTGCAACATATTTACATACTATGTTTTTAATAAATGAGTGGGATTCACGCATGATAAAAATTGACGATTTTTTTGACCAATGTAGCGCCGCGCGCATCAACAATAAATGAATCCGGAAAATTGCGGAAAATAACTTTGCGAAGGAGGAACTTCACTGTAATTAATTAACACATGGCTAGCGTCGCGCGCAGCATAACAAACGCTTCCAATACACATAATTATAGGGGAATGGTCTATATTGCGAAGGAGCAGACTTTTGTCGTCAACGTAGGACCGTCGGGCCACCTCATATATCCAAACCCGATTGCTTATTCCCTACGATCTTTTTGCCTTCGGCAAGAGTAGGGAAAAAAATTTTACCGACGAATAACCCCATTTCATCGTCAAAAGCTAAACAGGTTTTTCATCTAATTCCTCGAAGGTGTTAGATAAAGATATGAAGACAGGGGGAGCGCTAGCACAGGTCCGAGTGTCCTGCAAGGAGCTTGCTAAGGAGACCATGATATCGGGCTGGAAGACACTGGTGAACGAATCAGATGTAGCGCTGGACAGCTACATCAAGTTCACTTTGTCTTATACCGCTGTTGAGGAGTTATCCGATGGGCTTGTGGTGAGTTTTCCCATGCTAAATTTGATTCAATTTCTGATATTACTGACTTTGGCATCCAAAGTGTTTTATTCAGTGATCATGCTTCACTCTTCAGTCATTCGATCAGTCTTAGCCTTAGGTCAGACTTGAAGCTATTTATTTTAACTAATTATTTATTTATTTTAACTAATTACAACACTATACTACAAATCTATTACATTTATTGAGCGGACGTAATATCCTGTCCAAACCCAGGATACATAACATGAATACTTTGTTGTAACTTGTATGAAAAGCATTAATAACTTACTGTATGTTACTGTACTGTAACTGTACTGTTACTATAACATGAATAATGTCTAATCAGAAACACATTTTCTGACTGAATGTTTGTACATCAGGTACCGAATAGTTACTACCCTGTGCGAAAGCTCAGTTCCTTGACTCTTTACCAAGATTCTCACTCCGCAAAACTGCCGAATGTACGGGGTCCAAGGAACTGTTTTGAGGACATCTACAACAGTATACTCACCGCTAAAAAGTTTATTTACATCTCAGGAAGGTTCGTTATAGACTTGATTTAGGGTATTAATGTTTTGGAGTGAGCTGGTAATACTCGATCGAACTGGCAGTTATTTTTATTAATAAATTTCGGGACTTTCGTCGCCACGATTGAAAAAAAAATTAATTCCAGGGTTGATCCAAATTTTAAGCTCACAAAAACGCAGAAACGGAGCCAGACTCTTGGTAAGTCAGTTTTAAATTAAATTAATTGATTAAAAGTTTACTATCCAAGATTCTTGTTAATCTGCCATGGCTTATCTATTCCTTTCTGGCATTTTTTCTTAAAGTCTAAAACAACATAACTTAACTTGTATATCTGCGTTAATAGGGAAATTGTTAAAAAGTAGAGTGAAGGCGGGTGTGAATGTTTTGGTGCTGCTTTGGGATGAGGAGAGTCGGTTACAAACCATTCCTTCCTTCCAAGAGTTCATCCAGTCTGCAGCTGATACGAAGAACTATTTCAAAGGGGTATTTGCATCTAACTGTGATACTTCGCTCGTTGAAACATTTTCGTTATATCAACCCGCAAGGGCACTATTATATCTGTTATGATTTTCAAGATATTAATCTAAAAATGAAGACACGTCGTCCTCAGTCAGGTGTAAGAGTAGTGTTAGCTGACCGGACCAAAGCTAAGCCGGGGTTCCTGAAGCAGCAGAGAGCGGGAACTTGTTACCGGCACAACCAGCGCTTTGTCGTACTTGACGTTCCTGGTATGTGAAACATCAAACTCACAGCCAGTAAATATCGGACAAAATTAATACCGGACCAACTTGTGACTTATGTCCGGAAAGTCACAACAAGAACTCAAGTACTGGAAACTTGTAAAATGTTTGCAGGTGCCCTGTGCCCAAACTAGCTGCAATTACAAAATGGCGACGGAACATTTGTTATTTTTAAAGACCTAAACTGATTCGGGGAAAGAAGTTTTATTGTGAAGTACATTCTGGTACATTTGGTACATTCTGGTATATTATGGTACATTCTGGTTCATTATGGTACATTCTGGTACATTATGGTACATTATGGTACATTCTGGTATATTATGGTACATTCTGGTTCATTATGGTGCATTCTGGTACATTCTGGCACATTCTGGTACATTATGGTACATTCTGGTACATTATGGTACAGTGGTAAATTACCTTAGTGCAAGAAATATAGGCGGCAAGAATATAAGGCGCTAGAAATTAAGGCGGCAAGAAATTAAGGCGATATTTTTTTCGGAAAAAATACGATTTTTGATCGCAAATTTGGTTATAGTTTTGGTCGAAATAGTGTCAATTTTATTCTTTTATCAGTCTATAAAGCATAGAAATCTGTTTAAAAATACGATATATTGGACATTGGTCACATAAAAACTAAATGGTGCATGCACATTATATTTATAGTGATTGCTGTTCTGTCGTCTAATATGTAAATCCTGGTGTGGGTTGATATGAAATGAATAGGTTATGACTTTTATAGTCGTCGTTAGTCGATGCTATTGAAATAAATCTATATTCTGTACTACACCGTATACCATTACCCTGATTTTACCAGTAAGTAAACTGATGGTTGATTATCATTTGCTAAATTGCAGAGACGAGTTCCTCTGCCAAGAAGCGAGGATTGGGGGCTTATGTTGGGGGCTTTGAACTGAACCCTGGATACTGGGATACACCCTCACATACCTTGTTATCAACTGGGGAACAAGAAGCAACTTCTACTACGGGTAATTAATAATTAATTAATTACTGATTATGTGTGTCTGTAATGTGTCTGTTTAATTAGGATACGTCTTACATCGTATTTAGACTAGAATTATGTGTGATTGATGATATTGTTTATTATCTTACTGTTTTTTCGTATGTTTGAATTTTCTGTTTTTATTATCCACCGTTCAGTATTGAGTCCAGCTAATTTTTTGTTCTTTCGTAGTAGCATAGCAATGCATTGCCATTAGGTAAGTATGTATACACTTACATTATATTTTGAGTGTGGACTTACATAAACAATTATCTGATGTGTTGTTACTGTCAGGAGTAAGATTACCCCGACACGGTGTACACTGTAAAGTTGAAGGTAGAGCCGCTTTAGACATACTCAGGAACTTTGAAGAGCGCTGGAGGAAGCAGGCCCCTCTCAAGAAGTCTCTCCTCAGCAAGGTCAGATTCTTCATCAAATTCTTTGAATATTTTCTTGCAGCAGGATTTCATCCTCTCAGCTGAGTTTGTTTAAATTGTTGTATTATTTGTGCACGCTCACGAGGAGGTCCACGTGTTGCAGTCCAGATATCGCCTCGTTATTTCTTTTACCTTTAACTTTTATAATTTAACCAACTTAAAACTTAGTTACTTTTTAACTCGCGCACACAAATACGCACACAATAGAACTGGCCAATATAAAATGTATGTTATTTATATTTTTATTTGTATATTAATATACAAGTAATTTAATAAAATAATTATTTTATTAAATTACACCACTGTTCAGGTTAACTCGAGTAAGTACGCGTTACGAGGAGGAACTGTAAAACAAAACAAATGGTCCATGCAAGTGTTTAGATCGATTAACGAGGACGGGTGTGACTTTCTCAAAGAGGGCAATCTCAAATCTGTCAAGGGAAGACTTGTAGATGACGGCATCCACAGGTCAGTAACCAGAACAGAACAGTTTACTGTTAAAATAAAAATGCAATTTGTTTTGCAATGACTGAATTTGTTGGATAACCGTAGAAAGAAGGATTAGATCCTTATTACAGGAGGGAAGGGGTTTTTCAGGTCAAGTTTCGATCCACAGCACTGCAAGCAGAGACCATGCCCGTAAAAGCTTGGAGATGATACAAATATCGAAATTTTTTGGCATAGGTTATTAGGAAACTGTCTCATTTCTCTGATTTTGTAAAGAGACAGTATAATCTACCCAATGTTATGGTATTGTTTAGTATTTCATAAACAGTTTTGCTATCAACTTCAAGTCTAATAGTGGAAATCCTGAACCTCAGCTGAGGACAATGTTTACAGCAACTAGCCGAACAGGATATTTGCTAAACCACGAATCTAAATTTCCGCTCACTGTCTATAAAGACTGTTGGCCGGATGACAAGCAACGTAGCTAGTTTACTTTAGTTACAGCAGCTACTTTACCACAGTCTCATATCATTTGCCACACTTGGCTGACACCGGTAGTCGCAAGCTAAAACCATGCAGTAAGTAGTACTGTAAACCGACACAGCTGCTCAACTCTGGGGTTTTAAAAACCACCTTCACCGGAGATCTGGATCCTGTTCAATAGTCAGTGGTGGAATGGAACCAGAGTTGGCATGCTGTTACCGGTTCCTTACAGGTCACGGGACCATCACCACCGGGCTGATCACGTCTCGTGACTGGGCTTCTCCAGTCACGTGATTGCTGAGTTCTGCTTGTTACGACGGTTATTCACCGGATAGGTCGCCATGAGAGAGGTGATAAGCAGCTGTGCTGGTTACGGAACATATGCGTATGTCAACCAGCTCCAATGCTTGCTAAACTTATCCTCGTGGATTAGAATATTCAATTCAGAATATTGTCTCAGGCAATTTATACTTCATTCAGCTTGACAAATGCATTGAAACTGAGAGTTAGCGCTAGGAAAAAGTTTTAACTGGAGTTTTGTTAAACAACGACGACCGCAAAGTTTCAAGCGATCGTTTGTATCAAGTAAGAAAGATTTGAGCCATGATTTTTAATGTTCATGGCTACAACTAACGAAACATTCAAAATTGGACAAAAAATTAAAAACCTCAATTAAACCTCAAACTAACATTACTGATTAAGGTAAACAAACTAACAAAGGCATAACAAAAATTGCCAAAATAAAATTTACTAACGAGTCAGTCGCAGTAATTTCAGTAATTGCAGTATTAAACTGATGATAAGATTCTAAACGAATCTCCAAGAATATCACCAAAAAAACCCAATAAATCATCTCTAGAACACTAAATATTCCTCTTGTGGTCCTAATCCTAAATACCCTACTCATGGGAATTATGTTGTCCCATATTGTTCAGATTCTTAATGTCTTTTCTCGCCTGTTCTGGAACCAGTAAATAACTGCCCTCTCGGTTATCCCCAGTCGTTCTGCCAGAGACTTTCTCTCGTATGGACTCACGAAGTGACTTTCGTTGTACTTCATCTGAAAAGGTGTTACTTGTCAAAATAAACTTTTGTCAGTTACAACACAAGTATGAATATAATTCAATTTTATAATTCAACATGCTCATGGTTGAAAATAAATCGCATTTCTTTTGAGCTTTTGGGAGGGGCAAAAAAGTAACGTGTTCCGTATATTGTACCAGATAATCATTGATCAAGCTGTGGATACCAATGAGGAATGTCAACATAAATTAACATAATTATCAACATAATTATCAACATATTTTTTAACATAATTATCAACATAATCATCTCTTAACCTCTAAAAGATCCAGCATGTCTGGTTCTATTTTAGTCCGACATCTCCTAGCTCTGCTCAGCTCTATCGCGTTTTTCCAGTGCATGAAGGGTGTCTGAAACCTGTCCCCTACTGGTGTTCCTTTGAGACGTCCCCACGGCTGGGATAGTCTGGTTCCTGAACCAGTGACAATTAAAGCACAATGTACAGCGCCAGTCATAGTAGGATCTTGAGGACTACACGAGAGTCAAATTGGTTCGATTTTTCTACTATACAAGAGTTAGGTTGGTGATTCGAAAAGTTTGAGCCAGGAAAATTGTATTAAAAGCGCTTTTACAAAATCACTGCGTATGATAATTTTCTACGAAGAACTCAGAACTTGGAAGTGAGAACACGGACGACTTTGGGGATGAATGAAGTGTCACGTGATTTGTGTTTATGATCTGTGATTGGTTGTTGTTTGGCTAGTGTTAGGATGGTGATAGGTGAAGGTTGCTACTTTAAAGGTCTAGTGAAAGGAATTTGTGAGGAAGGTGCTATAAAACTGGTGTGAAGTTGAAGTAAGGAATACTCTGGATAATACTGGATGAAATGTGAGTTCAGCTGAAGCCGTCCAGGAATAAGAAATTAGATATTAATTAGAATAACGTGTATATTTATAACGTGTATATACATGTATTAAGATTAAATAGGTAGGTAGTTATCATTCTCTATAAGTTTACTTTTATCAAACGATAATTTATTTTGCATTGGTGCATTTTTAAACCATCATGAAACAGCGGTACCCTCCCTCCCAGAGTACTAAACGAACTACAGTGAAAATGAACACATACCTGGACAAACGCACTGGAACCTGTGGTTGTTGCCGTGTCCCGCGTGTTTTGGACAGACTCGCTTGTGGGGTGTCCTCGGTCCGATATGATCTGTTTAATGATGGTGAAATCAGTTTTAGTTTAGTCATATGTTTTTAGGGCCAAGCTAATATAGCTTTATGTTGGGAGGCAAAATTGTGTGAAATTCGAACAAGTTTTTGATCGCAAGGTGGCCCAGAGAGTGATATTAGCAATTTACGTAGAGGATAAGAAACTAAAATATGCTGGATTAAATTAAGTTTAGCAGAGAACAAATTGATTTATCCTAGTATTATTACCTGGTAATTTGGCGAGATTAATGCCTCTGTTTTCCCAACACACACGGTCGTTTATTTGAGTGTCCAATTCCTTCATATCACCCACAACTATTTCAAACATAGATTTAGCTGCGGAGGACACCGCCATAAGATGGGGCTCATTACCCGATGGCGGCAAATTAAGGCAAAGTTTTTGAGACGGGTTGAGACTAGGAGTGTTTTTATCTGATCGAAATATTCCTTCCCTGGTGTCAAACGGGAAGTGGTCAGTGTAATGGTTATGATTATCTTCCTCCCTAAACGACAGATTTTTTGAAAGTTCTTGTAAATCTTGAGAATTGTTGGTGTGCAGCATCTGAGCACTGTCGGAGTGCGGCCGAGCTGTTTCCGGTAAAGCCACCTTAACTGGCTCGTAGCCAGAATCAGGCTGAGAGATAACTGGCTTGTAGCCAGAATCAGGCTGAGAGATAATTGGCTTATAGCCAGAATCAGGTTGGGTGATAACGGATTTGGAACGAGGATCAAGGAGCCCGATAACGGAATTGTCTGGCCCATGGAGCGGAGTGCTGATACACGTGTTGAGACTGGGTACCGGAGCATCTTGTGGGGGTCGGACAAGGGGGGAGTTGTGTGGGGAGTCCACTTCCGTTCTGTCACTGTGAGAGCTGAACCCTCTGAAATGTTAACTAGTGTTCAATTTATTAGCTGGCGAAATGGTTACTAATTAGCAGCACACGTCAACTTATTAAGTTTAGAAATGATGATATCGGTTGGAGAAATTGCCTCCTAAATCTAATTAATGTTCAGATTCCTCCATTATTTTAAAGTTCCTACCTGGCGGGCCTTATGTCGATTGGTTCTGGATATTTAAAAGTAGGAGGAAGCTGGACATATCTCGGTCTGGGACGATTCTTTGGACGATAAGATGACGACTTAGGTCTTTTGCTCCTGGGGTGATACGCGAAAGAATTATTTGAGTTGATCATATGGTCTGGATAATGTGTCATAGTTTCATTATCCGTTGCTTTTTCGTGGAGATCTGATGTAGGTGTCTGAAAGATATTATAGGGAAAATGTTCGTCCGCGTGTTGTAACATGGTATTTGCACAGAAGGTGTTTAGTGATAGCATCTGGGAGACCTTCTCTTGCAGGTCCAGCACTTTGTCTGCTTGGTGCTGCAGGGCGAAGTCGAGGTTTTCCGGAGAAGTCAGCAGTTTGATCGTCAGATCTTTGATGATGTTGACCTCCGCTGATGACTTGGCGTGGTCACTTGAGATTTCAGAGTATGATGTATCATCATGAACCTTATCAAAAGTATCATTCACGTCCTGATCAGCCTCCAAATCAATGAACTGGACAGAACCTGCGAGACTCATCATTTTACTCGAAACTGAGCTAAAACAAGCAAAAGCCAGGACTGGCGATCAATAAGCAAGTTGCGGCTCTTTAACATATGCAGTGAAAACTGTGCATGTTAATTAAGCTTGTGCTCGGAAAAAGACGAGAACAAAGAACGCGGTGGAGGAGGAGAAAGTGAGTGCGGTGAAGCAGGAACAGACCCGAAAGTTCCTGTGAAGCCGCCAGGCGTGCGTGTTGGAATCTGACGTATTCACCCATCCTCCAACTCCGCATGTAGATGATGGGCATATAGGCTCGCTCGCCAACTGATTCTTAACTATTACCTAATAAGGTGTAATTTATTTACAGTTATTCCTCGGCTGCACGATGAATAACGTGTACAAATATTGTGCATCTTTTGACTGGTTCCTCCAATTGACTGCTAGGATCAGTCCGCACGTGTCAGGGAATGACCAATGAGAGTGAGCCGCGCAGTCACGTGGGCACCTTACAGCCATTCACAGGTTACGGGCGGCTTGTTGGCAACCTTTTACTGCAACTACCGGAACGTAACCGTTTTAAATCTATTCGGTAAACGTTTAATAATCATTTATTTAAAAGTTATAAAGCATTATAGTTGCTGATGGAGTTGAAGTGGTCAGAGATATCTGCAGCAGCTTCATGATGCAGATGATGCACACACTGATCAATTAAATGAGATGATGATCTTATTGATCAAGATCTATGTACGCATTCCTCTCCAGACTGATGAAGGAATATGGTTACAAATCTTACAATATAAGAGTATCCAATATATAGCCTCGAATATTTTGTGACGAAACTCAACAAACGGAACACACATGATACAAGATGTTAGACTGAGATATTATAAATGCAAATGGCAATTTTGTTCGGCCATAGAATCCAAATTGTAACAGGTATTGAGCTATTATATAAATCACAGAGAATACATTATTTTAGCGAACCGGGAAGACCATGGCATTTTTGGGTGAATGGCCACCCTTATACTCTTATAAGTTATAGTTACGCCGGTGGTCGCTCAGAGTTCAATACCCCTAAAAAGTTAAGTTTCGATCAAATTTCACACAAATATCATAGAAAACTGCTCTTTGGAAATAACTTCAGCAATAAGTATGGTACGTCAATAAAATAAAAAGTCTCAATTCCAGAAAATTGGATAGCCTCTTCGCAAAAAGCAAATCTATGAATAGAAAATAATTTGCTATATCTCATATCATTTGAGATAATAGGGCCCTATAATGTCTGATAAATATTGTCTAACAAATTTTTGCTTCGAAGATTCAGCACAGAGAATTTGAGAACTTCACTGAAAACTTCACGCACTCGTATGTCTTAATCCCACACAAACCATGGTGGCTGACCACTAGATCCCTTTCTGGCCAAATGAAGGCCAGAAGTTAATTGGAATAATTTCCAATTGTCACGACTAATTAACTTAATTATCTAATCGTTAGTCACTCATTAGGCCCATATTCCGAAGTGAATAATGTAGCCCAATAGATTTTGAACATTCGTGCATAAAATTTGTGTAATCAAATATTTTGGTTTGTCACCTATAGCCAAGGGTCGACCGAGGGCAGAATTTGCGACCAAGGCCGAGGCAGAGAAAATTCTGCTTTGATAAAAGTTAAAACCGAGGCCGAGGACAACCGAGGTTTCATTTTGTTGGCCGAGGCCGAGGAAAAATCGCTATTCCTCGGTAAAACCGAGGGCGAGGACTCGGTCGATCCTTGCAACTGGGACAATTTCGCCGAGGCCGAGGAATAGCAACTAAATTTTTAACCGAGGCCGAGGCAAACCGAGAAATTGTCCTCCTGACCGAGGCCAAGGCCGAGGAAAAATCGCTTTTCCTTGGTAAAACCGAGGCCGAGGACTCGGTCGACCCTTGCCTATAGCCTCTAGAAAAGATGGGTCGTAAACGACCCTATCGTCCCTAATGGTTTAATTAAACGAAACACCGCGCAAAATTTGAAGTGACCTACACACATGGAAGTTCTGCTAGGTTTATTATCTTACACAAATGTGTTGTCCAACACATTGTGGGTACAGGCTTAAGGTATAAAGCTATGATACAAACTGTTGCCAATTACAATATCTAACTGCGATGTGCTAAAGTGACTCAATTTGAATCTGTTGGGTCAACATGAGTTCTTCATCTGCAGTGCCAGTAACGTTTCACCCTATCTTGTTGTTATAAGTTGCCGCATTATCAGCTCACCACACGATACTATTGATAATGAACTCTCTGGGTATCTAGAGGAAAAATTATACTTATAAATAATACAATCTATTCTCCTCAATTTATCAATTAATCTTAATTAAAATATTTAATTTTCATCAGGATGCTCACAGCTGCTTTGTTCTTATCCCTGGTCCCCGTGACCTTAGGAGGTGGCGAGCTGAAAGCCCTCAAAGGAGAGATCATTCCAACTATCGCAGAGGTAGTTAGAATGATTAACAGCATGAAAGCAGTACAAGCACAGAAGGATATCGATCTTGCCTGGCAAGCTCTCCATATGGCAGGTGCCGCTGCCTGCCGAGGAAGCACCCCTGAAGGAGGAAAAGGACCCTGGTCTAACTCTGTTATCGCCAAAGAAAACGGAGCAAAGTGTTCCGACCAATGCAAGCTTACCGACAGAAGCACTTGCAAGGCCGAGGTTGCAATTTCTGGCTTGACTGGAAAGGCAACATCCTACACTCAAACTGTTGGAAACTTCTACAACTTCGAGTGTGATGGTGGCTGGAACGATCGCGAAAATATCATCCGCAACGAAGTAGTAGCTGAGGATGTTGATATCTTGGACAACGAGAAAACCACCTACTACAGATTCTGCTGTTGTGCTAAATCATATGGAAATGGAATGGAAATCTGAAATTCTCCATACATACACATGCAATCAGATACAATTAAAAGGTCGATTTCGAGATTGGACTAATAGATTGTGATCAAACGAATTCTTTAACATGTTTCAGCTTTTAAAATATATCAAAAGCTACTTTTATCAAAATATTCATATTAATATAAACAAATCTTCAAATTTAAAAGATAATCCACTGAGTAGCAATGTCTGATTTAAGTTAAATCATAAAATCAGCTTTAGTCTCATTTAGAATAATGATAATTTAACAAATTACATGTCTAAACACCCTATTAAGATGCAACTTAATCTAAACAGATCCAACACGTCGGTTAAGTGGAGGCTGCAGTAGCCGCGCATCCTAACTTTAAAATGATCCGAATCTGCTTAACTTCAGCAACGTGACTGATCCATTAATATTATAAACGACAACCATTTAAAACTAGAATTGCCTAAAGAGCGATATGTCTATATTTTTATTTCTGCCCGCTCAATTATTCTAGTCGAATGAACGATAAAAAGAGAGGAATCATCTTGGGATTCAAATTACGACTTTGCGTCCGATTGGCCCTCCGTAATTCTACATGTTGTATCGGTGATGAAGTCATATTTTCAGTTCCCATCACGTTTGAAGAAGAATAAAGTTGAAAAACAAACTAAAAGCTGTTCACCAAAATCTCTCAACTCTGCTCCCTCTCAAACACCCTATCTAAATTCTACAGGTCCATCAGAAATCAACTTGGAGCTCCTAAAACTAAAGTTTCTCAGTATTATCCAACGCCACAAGCAAAGAAATCCTAATCAGCCTATTGCCATCCGAAATTATTGCAAGAGAAATTAAAAGCCAAGCAGCAGTTGCATAAAATCCCAGCAATATTATCTCTAGATTGCTAGTGAAGTATATACTGATTGGGTTTCCAGTTATTTTCCAAGTCTATCCGGCCCTGTCATATCAAAGAAAAGTTTTGACTTGTGAAGGTGTCCGGTGGTCGTCTTTGCGAAGTCTAGTAATTCAAGTAAGTACTTCTCTACTCATGGGGGGTCTAATACAGTACGCCAGATTGATGCTTTTAACATTTGCAGAAAACATCTCCTCCCACCAGTCGAATTCCTTGTTCTTAAGGGTACAGTAATTTGTGTCCTCGTTGTACGACACCGACAGACAATCTTGAGTATCTCTGCAAATTGTTATGCAAGCTACGAGGTTTTGTAAGATAAGACGTTTCATATCATTCCTGGGGAATTCGTAATCCAGTTGTACACATCTCAGATAAACTTTACTATTATCACAAAACATGTTCATGCTGTTGTATCCTGGCGCTGCTGCGGGTCCATTCACACCACCACGTTTAGATTTGAGGTAACATCTTTTATGAACCTCTCCGAAGGTCAAGGCTACACATCCCTCAGTGTCTCTGCAATGCTTTACACACTCTCTTTCATCGGACACTGTGAGGTTCCTTAGATCGAATCCAGTGAAGTCTATTCCTTTTCTCAAGCAACCCATGTTGGTTATGGCACTGTTATCACATACCATATTCATGCTGTTATGTCCAGCTGCCACTATAGGTCCGATTGCACCACCACGCCTAGATTTAAAGTTGCACCGTTTATCAGATTCTCGGAAAGTCAACCCTACGCAGCCATCAGTGTCTCTACAAAGCCTAACACATGTTTCCACGTCAGCCACTACGAGGTTCCTTAGATCGGCTCCAGCGAAGTTAAATCCTTTTCTCAAGCAACCCAAGTTGGTTACGGGACTGTTATCACATACCATATTCATGCTGCTATGTCCAACTGCCACTATAGGTCCAATGAAACCACCACGATTAGCTTTAAGGTAACAGCGTCTATCAGATTCTCGGAAAGTCAAGGCTACGCATCCCTCAGTGTCTCTACATAGCCTAACGCATGTTTTCACGTCAGCCACTACGAGGTTCCTTAGATCGGCTCCAGCAAAGTTTATTCTTTTTCTAATGCAGTCCAAGTTGGTTACGGGACTGTTATCACATACCATATTCATGCTGCTATGTCCAACTGCCACTATAGGTCCAATGAAACCACCACGCTTAGATTTAAGGTTGCACCGTTTATCAGACTCTCGGAAAGTCAAGCCTACGCATCCCTCACTGTCTGGACATAACCGAACACATTCTTCTACATCAGCCACTGTGTATTCCCTAAGATCAGCTCCAGCAAAATTGAATCCTTTTCTCAAGCAGCTCAAGTTGGTAAAGTCAATGTTATCACATTTCATATTCATACTGTTGTATCCGGCTGCTACTGCAGGTCTATACTCCCCGCCCCACTTAGATTTGAGGTAGCAATTGTTTCCAGATTCTTGGAAAGTCAAGGCTACGCATCCCTCAGTGTCTCTGCAAAGCCTAACACATTCTTTCACATCAGCCACTATGAGGTTCCTTAGATTGGCTCCAGCGAAGTTCAATCCTTTTCTCAAGCAATCCAAGTAGGTTAGGGTACTGTCATCACATTTCATGTTCATACTGTTGTATCCAACTGCTACTGTAGGTCCGATTGCACCACCACGCTTAGATTTGAGGTAGCACAATTTATCAGACTCTCGGAATGTCAAGGCTACGCATCCCTCTGTATCTCTACATTCTTTTACGCATTCTTCCTCATTAGCCTGCACAAGCTTATTTAGATTTGCTCCATCAAAGTTTAATCCCTTTCTTAAGCAATCTAGATTTGTAACCTCACTATTGTCGCATTCCATATTCATACTGGTATATCCTGCCATCATCTTTGCTCCTCTAAAACCTCCACGTTTAGATTTGAGAAGGCATCGGCCACCCATTCTCTTATACGAAAAAGATTTGCAATCTTCTGTATCTCGACAAAAGTTGATGCATTTCTCCATACTACGAACCACCAGACTCCCACGATCTGCCCCCACAAACGACATACCTTCCTTAGCACAACTCAGATCTAATTTATCTCTGTTGCATTCCATGTTCGTACTTATGGCATCTAACTGTTGTATTGGTCCATAGGCTCCCCCAGCCTTCGAGTTCAAGTAGCAGTTTTTGCTAACAGTTTTGAACGTTATAGATTTGCAATATTTTGTTCTTAGGCAATCCTTTGCACACTCTTCAAGGTTTGCATAGGTTCTGTTGAAGAAATCAGCCCCAGGGAAACTAGTGCTCTGGTGGGAACATGCAGCTATCACCTCGGAAAGACTTAACTTTGGTTTTAGTTGTGTTGACTGTGGTTGTGTTGGCTTTGGTTGTGTTGGTGTTGGTTGCTTTGGTATTGCAGGAGCTTGTGTTGGCTTTGGTTGTGTTGGCGTTGGTTGCTTTGGTATTGCAGGAGCTTGTGTTGGCTTTGGTTGTGTTGGCTTTGGTTGTGTTGGCGTTGGTTGCTTTGGTATTGCTGGAGCTTGTGTTGTCTTAGGTTGTGTTGGTTTAGGTTGTGTTGGTGTTGGTTGCTTTGGTATTGCTGGAGCTTGTGTTGGCTTTGGTTGTGTTGGCTTTGGTTGTGTTGGTTTAGGTTGTGTTGATGTTGGTTGCTTTGGTATTGCAGGAGCTTGTGTTGGCTTAGGTTGTGTTGGTGTTGGTTGCTTTGGTATTGCTGGAGCTTGCGTTGGCTTTGGTTGTGTTGGCGTTGGTTTCTTTGGTATTGCTGGAGCTTGTGTTGGCTTAGGTTGTGTTGGTTTAGGTTGTGTTGGTGTTGGTTGCTTTGGTATTGCTGGAGCTTGTGTTGGCTTTGGTTGTGTTGGCGTTGGTTGCTTTGGTATTGCAGGAGCTTGTGATGGCTTTGGTTGTGTTGGCTTAGGTTGTGTTGGTATTGGTTGCTTAGGTATTGCAGGAGCTTGTGTTGGCTTTGGTTGTGTTGGCTTTGGTTGTGTTGGTGTTGGTTGCTTTGGTATTGCAGGAGCTTGTGATGGCTTTGGTTGTGTTGGCTTAGGTTGTGTTGGTATTGGTTGCTTTGGTATTGCAGGAGCTTGTGTTGGCTTTGGTTGTGTTGGTTTAGGTTGTGTTGGTGTTGGTTGCTTTGGTATTGCTGGAGCTTGTGTTGGATTTGGTTGTGTTGGCTTTGGTTGTGTTGGCTTTGGTTGTGTTGGTGTTGGTTGCTTTGGTATTGCAGGAGCTTGTGTTGGCTTTGGTTGTGTTGGCGTTGGTTGCTTTGGTATTGCAGGAGCTTGTGTTGGCTTTGGTTGTGTTGGCTTTGGTTGTGTTGGCGTTGGTTGCTTTGGTATTGCTGAAGCTTGTGTTTGCTTTGGTTGTGTTGGTTTAGGTTGTGTTGGTGTTGGTTGCTTTGGTATTGCTGGAGCTTGTGTTTGCTTAGGTTGTGTTGGTTTAGGTTGTGTTGGTGTTGGTTGCTTTGGTATTGCAGGAGCTTGTGTTGGCTTTGGTTGTGTTGGTTTAGGTTGTGTTGGTGTTGGTTGCTTTGGTATTGCAGGAGCTTGTGTTGGCTTTGGTTGTGTTGGTTTAGGTTGTGTTGGTGTTGGTTGCTTTGGTATTGCTGGAGCTTGTGTTGGCTTTGGTTGTGTTGGCGTTGGTTGCTTTGGTATTGCTGGAGCTTGCGTTGGCTTTGGTTGTGTTGGTGTTGGTTGCTTTGGTATTGCTGGAGCTTGTGTTGGTTTAGGTTGTGTTGGCTTAGGTTGTGTTGGCTTAGGTTGGGTTGGTGTTGGTTGCTTTGGTTTTGTAGGAGATTTCGTTGGCATTGGTTGTATTGGCTTTGGTGTTGTTGGTTTTGGTGGTTTCGTATTTGGTAGTGTTGGTTTTCTCTTGCAGACAAAATTACATATTATTAGTCTTTTTTCGATCCTTTCGCATCTATCTTTTTCTCCTTCTTTCATTTGGTAATTTGTATCAGCTGTTACACATCCTTCCAACTGTGTCTTGAATCCTGGAAGGAATTATATCCGGTCACGTCATAATGATTTGAATTTCTGTAAAACTTTATTTTAGTTTGAAATATCTGGTTCTTCAGTTGCGGCAGACATCCTCCGTAACACATCATAAAATTCATTTAATTAGATTTAACAAATTTACCCAAAAAACTCTAAATCTAACCGTGCTCTAAACAGGTTCCAAGTCTGTTGCGTTCCAAGTCTTTTGCAATTATAGTGAGACAGTCTCCCTCGGCCTCCACAGGTTCCATCAGGATGCAAAGAAGGAGTATAGGCACTATATAGTTAACCTTCCCATCTTGCAAACTTCTCGAGGCAACCTTAACCTATTAACCTATCATAATTGATCGAGTTAATAAACTGGGATTAATGTTATTTGTAATAAATAGGTGTGATTGTTTGTTCGTTAAAATCTACGATATCTCAGAAATAAGCAAGTCATAAGATGCAAACGAAATTACTAGATTAGTCAGATATGTATCAAAATCAAATCCTGAAGGGAATCACCATGACAAGATTGTCAAATTTTGATGTCTCAGAGAAAACCGAAATGGCCTCTTGCCACGACTGGATCTTTATCATGCCGGTTTCAGGACTGCAACATGGACTAAGTTCTCAAAAAAAAACGCGTGTAAAATCAATCGAAAGATGGATAAGATAAAAGCGCTTATTGTACAAGAAGGATTAAGTATTAATTGCAAATGAAACAATTTATGTGCTTCGAGAAAATTGATTTAAAAAATCGAGTAAATTTTTCTCTTTTGTAACGGAGGTTTATCCAGAACTGCATAATACACCAATATTAGCAACAAGAAGGTCGATTCTACAACTGCTATTCAAACTGCATCTAAAGTTTCTGCAGCTCATATAAAAAGAAAATGAGAAAAAATTATGTTTTACTCTCGTTATATAAAATTAACAACATCAAAAACATCATCAAGAAATGCTAAATGACACTCACGAGAAGATTGATGTAAGGTCCATGGAGGGCTATTGTTCTTAGACTTGACATTTTTGGCATCTCAGGAATGCACGTTTAAATTGTGTAACACTTGAATTCCTCAAGTCTCCCCTGGGTTGCAATTAATTGACAGTGGTAATGTGGAACAATATCGGCTGTTTGTAATTCTACAGCTTCTCAAACTAATAATATAAGGGGGACAAGAAAGCTAATATAATTTAAAGCTTTGAAACATAGAAGTGATGCGATAATTTGTTGGCACCTGAAGCTTTATAAACATTAATATTTCATATCCGACATCCGTTGAACAAGCCTATCATTCATCTCCGTGTACACTGTACACTGTACACTGTACACTGTACACTGTACACTGTACACTGTACACTGTACACTGTACACTGTACACTGTACACTGTACACAGACAGCTTATTATGTACAGCATTCTTAGGATACTAAGTTACACCCATATCTATAACTATTTTGTAATTCTGACAAAAATCAGCGAGTTGTTCAAGGATTGAGCCTGGTTAGAGAATTCTTGCCCATCCTGTTTTATATACTATTAATTTTGTTACTTAATAAGTTAGATGATTTGGGACAAATAAAACACACAACTAAAGTGTTATTATAGTGCTAGAATGGTCGAAGTTTTAAAACTAATCTGGATAATCTTATAAAAATAGAAAACATAAACTGCATGATGATAACTGCAATGATACCCAAATATTTAAAGGATAATACACAATATAAGTACTAAGTAGCTATGTCATGGTTAAGTATATTTTAAATCGTAAATAATAAATCGTACAATCACTTCCATAAAGTGGGTAAAGAAATTACACTAATTACGAGTTTCAAATTAGTTCAAACAACTCATTTTTATTTCAGCCCTTACTCAATAATTCTATTCCAAAGAATGATAATATTCCGTTATCTTCTCCGGTGGAATTACAGGGAATTGCCTCAGAAGACTGTAGCACTCTGGTGGGATGTCCAAGTTTGCGTCGGTGTACGCGAGCAAGGCGTACGCATCGCAGAAAGGCTTCATCTTGGGATTTAAATTGCGACTTTGCGAGTCGTCCACACACATTGGTAAACCGTAGTCCCATGACAGAGGCCGGCCATGATACACTCGAACTGCTCCCATATCCTTAGAACTGTAGACAGAGTAGCTGCTCCCGTGTGTGGTTCCGAAGTAGCCGTTTGCCAAGAGGGGAAAGGCTGCGTCAACATTAAACTTCTTATCTGTGATCGTCTTTATAGAGCCATTTGTCATATTTTGTGTTACAATCTTATCTTCTGTGAAGAAATATACGGTGTTTTCCATCATCATGGTGGCACGGAGATTTTTGGGAACATCTGGTAAGTTCTCTCTTGGAAAACCGGGATACATTGTATTGTTGGTGAAATCATATTTCCAATACCTATCACCTTTAAAGAAAAACGCTGCTGATATAGATACGTTTACATAAGCAGCATCTATTTTGTCCTCCAATCCATCCCAGCATACAGATATGTGCTTTGGATAGCCCTCCGCAACAACTAAATCACCAAGTTTATCCGATTCTATTTTGTAATAAAGGTCTTTTGCGAACATGAAAAGAGTCTGTGCACAAGGGTGCTTAATCACCGCATCAATTCGCTCGATACAGGATGAGTTTCCAGCAAAAGGTTGATGGTCCTGCGGGTTGTCGAATTGTTTCATTAATACCTTTTGATATTGTTTTGCTTCTAGCATATCAGCAGTGTAAACAGCTCCTTTTCCTAATTTAAATAGCCTCGATATTCCAGCTAAGTCATCTTCTTGAAGATTAATTTCCCTTTTGTACTCAGTATGATATGGCGACATCAGCGAGTCCCTTTCCATGGAATGTCGCAAGCCCAAAGTGTGTCCAAACTCGTGGATCGCTGTAGACCGTAGATTCACTCCTCGGGTGGAGAATCTAGTGAATTCCTCGTCATTATCGAAGTGTATCTCTCCGTTAGGAGGATAGAAAGCGTGGGCTAATACCCCAATAGGACCGTCAAATGGGTAATTGTCACCGTGGTCCCTACTCACAAAGTTAATCCTGACGTCTGCGATCCTGGTGTCGGTCACTTCGTAGAGGAAGAGTTCAATACTTGAAGTCCAAACTTCAAATGCGTTTATAATTTCGGTATATGAGTGATGCTCGAGTGTGTCGCTAAAGTTCTCGAAATAGAAAGTAAGTTTGTTTCCTGCCCAGTTTTCTTTCGTGGTCTCATAGCGTTTGTCCAAGGCTATGAAGTTATTTTTTAAGTCTTTGTTGGTGGACTGGTTATTGAAAGAATTGCCATTACTCCCTCTATGCGTCATGGTGTGTGTATCTATAACATTGTTCGATGGTTTGATGTCGTTCAGTTGGAACGTTTCCATTCCTTGGTAAGTCTTGTAACCCGGATCTTTTGGATCAACATCTGGGACCCCACATCTAGGGATTTTCATCTTCGCTAGGACCTCATCATCAACCCTCCCTGTTTTAGCCATTGAGTTAACGGACTGGAACAAGATCAAGGCTCCTTGAAGATCTTTAGTGCTTATCATGGACAATGCTGCTGAGTCTGGCACGTCTCTGAGACGTGTGTACCCGTCCAGGTACCCAAAATCATTTAAGTAGTTAAGGACAGTTCTGCAGTTGTTCAGTTCATCATGAATCAGACTCCTAGAAAAGAACAAAATTTCGTTGGGATCTAGGGTTGCATTGATGGGCATGGTTAAATTACCCGCGCTCCTTTCCCCAAATCCAAGTGTGATATCTTTGACGTATTTGGATAGGAATCCCATTTTTTTCAAGTGCTCTAACGCATCACGGTTAGATAGGTAGACTGTTCCACTTGTCAACGTAGCAATGAGGCAGGAGACAAAAATTAGCAACATCATCAGAGATTGATAACACAATATCAAAATAATTTCGGCTGATTATGATTCCGTGGTTTATAAAGTTGTAAGGCACATGACATGTTGTAAACAATTGTTTTAATAACGTTTAACCCATTAGGGACGACGAGTTTTAAAGTTTGTCGATTTTGATGCCGTTTAACACACTAGGTCACTTTACAGCAAAAATGAGATATCCAAAAAAGCTAATCTGTATCTCGTTTACTTTAAAAGATACAGCTATGGTCGCATGCGACCCACTCGTCCGGGTCGCAAACGACCCATCACGGTTTTTCGGCTTTAACTTCTGAAACAAAGACGTTAGGATAAAATAAAATAAAAAGCATAAGTTAAAAACATATGGTCAATACTGTGTGACTCTAACTTTTTTTAAATAAAGAATTTGGGTCATTAACGACCCACTCGGCTCACTTGCTTATTACTACATATGTCCATGTAACTTCTTGAATTCAGCCTAAAGCATGACATCATAAGTTCAAAATCGCCTCTCAGCAAGTGATAATCATCATAAACTGCGAAAAATCGGTTAAATGGGTCATTAGCGACCCACTAGGACCACAAAATTGATTAATTAAATATAATGTTGTCAAACTTTTACAAATATTAGTATAAAAACATGTTATATCTTGGTCATTACTCCTGTACGTTGATTTAACTTTTAAAATCGATCAACTGGGTCAATAACGACCCACTCGGAAGTTGAACCACGACATTAATTATCAGTATCATGTTGTTCTACCATCAAGAAAGACACTCGTAGGTCTTAATTCCACGCAAACCACGGGTGGCTGACTACTAGCCCTTCTGAAATCTGGAGTCTCACGGTAATCTGCAGATCACGTCACCCAATGACTGACGAATAATGGGCAGAATTGGATTGATAGGTAGGTGAGTTTATCAGCTGTTAGTATACGACCGTAATGTCGTGAGACAGCAAACAACGTGCCTATCTTTTCCCGATACCTAAAAAGTCCAAGAAGAACTATACAACTGCTGGATTCAGATTTCAGATGGCTGCATCTACTCTCTTCGCAGCTCCCTTTCTTTACTTCTTAGGGGCCGTTCATATATAACGTAATCATTTATTGGACAATTTTTACGCCCCCCCCCCCACCACATAGCTATTATGTCAAAATTACACAAGCGTAATCATTTGGAAACTCCCCTCCCTCTCGGCCGATTACGTAATACTTGTTTTCGTTTTGAAAGCTGCCTCGTTGTTGCGGGGTTTGTTACCCACAACGAGGTAGTTGTCTGAGAGATTGCAGGTTGCAGCACCGCCAGCCAAATGGGGGAGGGGGGGGGGCTTTTACCTTGTCCTTCTTCACAGAGCTGTAGATGTAGCCATCTGAATGCAACAGTTGTTTAGTTATTCTCGTACTTTCTAGGAATGAAAAAAAAACAGATTGGCATGTTGGATTAGAATATGCAATTTGACCACTCGTCTTTCAGTATTTACCCAAGGTTACATGATATCTCGTATACTTCGTTCAGGGGATTTTTCTTGAGTGACATGATCTGATCACCGTGGGACCCTGGGTCTCAAGCGGTGGGTTGTAGCAGGTCGTTTACCAAGATTCGAAATTGACGAAAAAGGTAACAGAATCTAATAAGCAACAACAACAGCATGGCTATTACTTAGCAAGTTAGGAACGAGGGCCGATTCCTTTTCTTTTGCGGCACGGCCACGGTCCTTTCGGTACAGATTTCCACGCACCATAGTATTAGTCAGGACGCAACTCCAGGCATATGCAGTAGTGTTATTCTCGCAGCTCTTTGATGAGTGATGACGGCCCTTCAGTTGGCCCTGGATCTTAGAAGGGCTAGTAGTCAGCCACCCGTGGTTTGCGTGGAATTAAGACCTACGAGTGTCTTTCTTGATGGTGGAACAGCATGATACTGATAATAATTGATGAGGTGGTTCAACTTCCGAGTGGGTCGTTATTGACCCAGTTGATCGATTTTAAAAGTTAAATCAACGTACAGGAGTAATGACCAAGATATAACATGTTTTTATACTAATATTTGTAAAAGTTTGACAACATTATATTTAATTAATCAATTTTGTGGTCCTAGTGGGTCGCTAATGACCCATTTAACCGATTTTTCGCAGTTTATGATGATTATCACTTGCTGAGAGGCGATTTTGAACTTATGATGTCATGCTTTAGGCTGAATTCAAGAAGTTACATGGACATATGTAGTAATAAGCAAGTGAGCCGAGTGGGTCGTTAATGACCCAAATTCTTTATTTTTAAAAAGTTAGAGTTACACAGTATTGACCATATGTTTTTAACTTATGCTTTTTATTTTATTTTATCCTAACGTCTTTGTTTCAGAAGTTAAAGCCGAAAAACCGTGATGGGTCGTTTGCGACCCGGACGAGTGGGTCGTATGCGACCGCAGTTAGTAAACAGCGTCTAGCTCTGTTTGTGAACATCTGATTATCACGGGCTTTTCATATGTCTCAAGGAAATCGTTGCCCGCAACTATTTTGTCCTCAACAAAATAAGCCTACATAAAGTTTTAATGTCCCAATCAAGGCAAGAAGTAAAGTGAAATATTTTCCAATTATGACGACTAATTAGCCTAATTATTTAGTTGTTAGTGATTAATTGGGTCTCGACTGGAAAGTCAATAATGTAGCCCAATAAATTTTGAGCATATGTGCGAAAGATTCGTTGCGTTTAGTATTATGGTTTGTCCTCTATAGCCTCTAGAAAAGGTGGGTCGTAAACGACCCTATCGTCCCTAATGGGTTAACATATAAGCGTATAGCAGTTATTGTTAAATATTTACAACAAGGCATGTTATAATTCTATGATTTTGCCATCCGGTAATTATTGTTTGGTATCAGAAATTACAGTATAAACAAAATCACAGACCATATGGATTATCTTGTGATATCTTATCGGCTAAAGTTAGTACGGCTAAAACGTGACTCATAAATAAGGAGACCATAAATTTAGTAACAATAAAAATCATGTTGTAAAAGAACTCATACCTACAGAACTATGATATATGATTTATAATATTTCTGTATGCTAAAGTAACACGTAGATACTATATACGGTAGATTGATAAATCTGTTTTGAGTTACTGTTTTGAGAATTGGGTTCCTGTTTTCATCGACATTGTGTTTCAGAGCGCTAGTACACCATATCAGAAGGTCGTACGTGTTTCTGTACCTGGAAACCAGCCAGTTCATGGGACGGAGCTGGAGAGGAGACACCCCAAAAGACAGACACCTTGTAGCTCTGGAGATTGTCAGCAAGGTCGGTTCAGACATTTTCTATATTTCTATCAACAAGCTGGGTTCTTTATATTCATGATTTATGAGATAATTTGATAAACGGAAAATCATCAGAATAAAAAAGAGATTTTCGAAGATTTTTGAATAGGAGCTTTTCTGCCGTCCCCTTTACCGAAATTTCGCGGTTTTGACTGAAATTGTTATATTACTATTGACCAATCAGTGAGATCGGTGAGAGTGACACATGAGTCGCCATCAAGGTACCGGAAGCAGTATATCCGGAGAAAACTTTGATGCGATGAACATTTTGAGTTTCAGCTTTCCGCGACCCAAATTTCACTGTTGTGATTGACTTTTTCTTGAATGATCTTATTAGGTCACTGAGGATGGCACAAGACACGATTGAGGTACTCAAAGTTCTATTCCCAAAGAAAGCTTTGATAAACGGAAAATCATCAGAATATTTTAAAAAAATTTCGAAGATTTTTGAAGAGGAGCTTTTCTGCCGTCCCCTTGACCGAAATTTCGCGGTTTTGACTGAAATTTTTACCAGTGACAAATCAGTGAGATCGGTGAGAGTGAAACAGGTCGCCATCAAGGTACTGGAAGCAGTATATCTAGGTAGACTATTTGCGTCCCTCCATTATGTTCACTAAATTGTAACAGGACACCTATATTGTCGCTGTGCTGGTCATACCCCTCGGTTTCAGTTCCTTGTTTATGATGTTCTTATAGTTCGCTTTCTTTAAAGCTAATATCCCATGGGAATTAGAAGCGGGATCGAAATTATGCAAACCTCTCGATACCGGTTTTGTTTCTATGCAGTGCATTTGTCGTTTCCTCAAACTCTCAAAATGCGAAGAACCTGGTATAGAGAAGTTTTAGTGTATTATATTAATAAACGCGAGATTTTAATTCAAGATATTTGACAAGGTATTAATTTTTAATAATTTACAATAAAATAATGGTAGTACATATGTAAATATTGACACTGTACTCTGCAGATATGTGAGCAGATATTGAACGGTAACAGGTACGCAGTGTACATAGTCCTACCCCTCCATCCCTCTGGGGATCCGGCTAGCAGCGAGGTTCAGGAGATGTTGTTCTGGCAGGTAGGAGCTACCATTTCACTTACCTAGCTTACTAGTCTATTGCTCGCTTATCTTACGTATAATGCAGGATATCGAAAAGAGCGCCGCGCATAAGGACGGGTACGCCAATAACTTATCATAATTATTTTGGGTTTTGTTTTGGTTTAGTTGTATCTGGTACAGATACAAATTTCGGCCTCGTTTCAGTTGTTTATCACCAATTTAGGTATTTCCGGAATCCGGACGTTCACTTTATGTAATATAGTGGGACATGTAAAGTGTAAACTTACAGTAAGTACCATGTACACATTGTACACATTGTACACATTGTACACATTGTACACATTGCACACATTGTATATATTGTACACATTGTACACATTGTACACATTGTACACATTGTACGCATTGTACACATTGTACACATTGTACACATTGTATAAATTGTACACATTGTTCACATTGTAAGATTGTACACATTGTACACATTGTACACAGTTTTTATTAAGTTCTTTATTATAATTAAGCCTGTGTCACATGACATAACTTTATTCAGTGAGGTTGCCTCAACATTGCTTTGGAGTCGTGCCTTGTATACTGTATAGTGTATAGTGAACTGTCGTCCATAAGATATAAGAAAGTACTGTTATGTTTGATGTGATTTTGTCGATATTTTCTACCGTGAAATATCTTTATGTTTGGAGAGGCAAATTTTTACTTCTTCCGTAAAACTGCATTTGAACATGATCTTAAACCACTTCTTACTAATTACTTTCTCTGGGTATCATATCATTATACATACATTATTCATATATTATATGTATTATTATTATGCTAGTACTTTAAATTAAGATACATTACATTAGAAGGTCATGAAACTTATCAGAAGTCTGAACGTCTTTTAAAAACTTCAAACTTTACTGAAGTAATCCTGAGGATGCACAGCTGCAGTGATGGCCACACTCGCAGTAACTCATTTTCATCTGATGATATGAGAGACAATTCTCAGCATCATCTTATTGATGTAGCAAAAGAAGGCGTCAATAACGATTTGGACATTAACGAAGCAATTGAAGAAGCAGGATGCGGTCTTGGCACTGGATTTCTCCTAATCACATCATATGCTATAATATCCCTGGAAGCAGTTGAAGTAACAGTTCTAGCTGTAGTCGGACTGATATTAAGATGCGAGTGGAACCTCTCCACAGCCAGCATGACCTGCCTCCAGATTTCCAGCGTTGTGGGACAGTTCCTAGTTGCGCTTAACTTCTCTAATGTTGCTGAGAAGTACGGCCGGAAACCCGTTATGTTAGCTGGAGTTGTGGGTATGACAGGGTTTGGTCTCCTCTCCGGGCTGTGGTCCCAGCACTTTTACCAACTTTTTCTGTGTAGGGTACTGGTAGGTGCTACCATCGCACTGTGCACCCCAGCAGCTGCTATATACCCAGTGGAGGTAGCTCCCATCTCCCACCGGACCATGGCTCAGTCTGGTATTGGGGTAGCGTGGGGAGTGGGGTCCGTCCTTACTAGTCTCATAGCTTATTGTACTCTGGAGGTATTCGGTTGGAGGGGGTTCCTTTCTTTTTCTGCTCTTGTTTGCTCACCTGTTATTCTTTTGGTGGTTCTCGCTAAGGAGTCACCTCGTTACGATTTTTATCGCAACAGATTGGAAAGCGCAGAAAATACCATTAATTTTCTTCATAGATGGAACGGCCGTGGTACGAAAATGAGTGGGAGATTAAATATTGCAGACACAGCTCTGGAATCAAACAAATGGAAACAACCAGACGAAACTTCAATACGTGGACTTTTCAAAACTCTAAAACAGACCGGAAAAACCAGCGACTTGATACTGATAATAAACCTTTTAGCGCTTTCATGTTTCGTGTACAACAGTGTATCTTTCTCGTCTCCCAGGTTCCTGAACGAGCAGTACTGCGGACCCGTGACCGTGTCTCGGAATCAGAGCTGTGTCTTTGAAAAGAATGTTTTGTTAGACATGGGGATGGTTGGTCTGAGCGAGCCCATCAGTAGCTTGATTTTAGCATATATCCTGGACTCAATGGGCAGACGAGGAGCGAACGCGTTTATAACAGTTTCAACTTTTATCGTGCTGTCATGTCTGCACATCTGTGGGAGTAGAGGTTACCTCGTGGTCCTACTGATGTGTCTGAAGGGGCTCAGCAACATGCTGACCTGTGTTCCGCTTGTACTGATCAGAGAACACTTTCCCACCAAGGTCCGGGGTTTTAGTTTCCATTTGGCGTATATGGTGGGCAGAGTGACAGTTGTGCTGGGCATGTCCTTCACTCAGTTCGCTTACGATATGAGTCCCAGGCTGGTGCTGGCGGTCAACCAAGTGGTTGTTGTTGTGTCGCTGGTCATTCAGGTGTACCTCAAGGTGGAAACTTTCGGTGTCCCTATTGAGTAGGGATTATCATATTATACCTCTTTCAAGTTAAACGTTTTACCTATTTTAAACATTTTGATATTTTGACTACGAATATACATACTTGTCTAATAAATTTGATAACATTATCAATCGTGTTTCTATTTTGTGCATAATAAGAGAATAAAGAGAATAAAACCCAAATGTTTAGCAATGACAAAACCTCTGTTAGATTTAGTCTAGACTACAAAATCAAAATGAAAATCATATAAATCTCGACAGTTTATCAAAATCGAACATCTTTCAGTCCCAAACGATCGATATGATGTACAAGATGATAGCTAAGGCTATCTCTAAGAAGGGTCCCGTGGGAGCTAAAGTGACGGACTACCTTAACTTCTACTCTCTGGCATCAAAAGTTAGATATGAACCTGGCTCCAGGGTGAATCTGACTGATATAAATGTACCGTCGGCAGCAAAGACAAGACGGTTAGTGTAGTATTACAAGATGTACTTTGACGGTTTACACTAATTACTGAACGAAAAAACAATTATAACCTAGAAGCTTCACTACTGGTGACTTTTCCTCTCTTGACTACACTTCGTAACTCCTCTCCTCATTTCACGTGACAACTCCTTTCAGGGGTATGATCAGTATCTGTGGGAGTGTACTGGTGGTAGATGATGAGTATATCTTACTGAGTAGTGGCGGTGTGTCCCAGGGGTCATTGAGTGGTAGAAGGAACACCGAGCTAGCGATAGGAGCCTGGCAGCCCCATCATACCCAGGTTTGGAATAGTTAACTTACTTTTGTCGTCACTATACTCTAAATCACTGTAGAAATACACTCAAATATCGAAATTTAGAGGCCATTTTTCGGTTGCCGGAGTATAATCTTATAATGAAGTAATGAAAATGGAATAGTTGATGGCTTTTAGCCCAAAATAAATCAATTTTCCTTCTGGATCACCCCAAGACTATCTGCCTGTTCTAACGAACTTGATGATATCTTGCACTGCAGGAAAATATAGAAGACAAACCACACTTACAAGGCAAAGTGCACAATTTCCGATTGTCGCTGTGGGCCGAGCATACGGGTACATCTAACCCTTCCTTTAGACGTCCACACCGCATTGGTAAGAGTTGATATTTATAATAGATCAGATTCTAGAGGCTCTGATAAGGAAACATAACTTGTTTTGTCGATGAAATGGTGGTTTAGAGAATGAAATTAACGAGAATTGGTTAATTGTATACTCCATAATATTATAAACTTATAAAGTTGCCGTATCGATATCACCTTTATTACAGGATGTGTACGTGAGATGAATAAGATAGCGAATAGAAACTGGAAGTTGTTTATCAGCGACAACTTCTCAACTACTTCACATCTTATAAAGTACCCCATCGCTATACAGCCTTCCGGTCAGGTAGCTCACCTATAGGCTATAACACCAGAATGGCAATGGAATTTTAACAGTAATCATCGTATATTTGTATCTAGATCCAGCTTTTATTGAAGTCGAAAGATTCTGATCACAAAATTGTTGTTTTAAATATGTTTTGGGTTTTCAGGTTGTAAACCGTGACGATGCAAAGTTCCTACCTGACACCAAGGCCAGAACTCTCGGCAGACAGATGAGGTGTCCAGCAGAGAAGCTCACCTCCTGAGCCATCTTCTAATCGATAGGTAACTTTTAGAGCTGACTGACTGACCGACTGACCGACCGAGTGACAGAGTGACTGACTGACCAACTGACTGAGAAATTTAAAACAGTTACTAGTTAGCGACAAATTTTGCTGGCTCTTCGTACCTATTGACACTTCTGTTCGTCCATATTGATTTATTTACGCGTTTGTTCTGTTCAGCTAATAATGTTAGTTTGACAAACAATTAAACACATTTCTATTACTTCACAGGTCACACCAGACTTAACTGTGGATTTAACGTTCGAAAAATTGTTGCTTTTTCAAGATTCTGCTAAAAATCGACATGAATTTTCACTAATTTTCGTTGAAATTAAAGCTATTTCAATCATTAGCGTATGGTAAAGTGAGTAATATATCTTCTAACTAACAACGTGTATCATTTCTCAATTCTCATGTTACAGCAAGATACGTTCAGTTCTTACAGGGTGTTTCGAGACTCGTGTCCAAATTTTGAATGGCTCTCAAAATCTAAAAATGAGACAAACGGTATAATTTTTGTTTTAAATTCTAGACAAATTATTACATTTTAAAATACATAACAAAAATAAATCTAATATTTTAACAATTTTTCGAACCAAGCCCCCTTTCTGCATAGAAGGTTTTGAACCCTCGGAAGCATATTGTCTATTGCACGTTTTACCATGTCAATTTTTAACTTTTTAGCCTCCCTTCTGATATTGTTTTTTAGCTCATCTACTGTTTGTGGGACTGGGTCTGAATAGACACGTTCTTTCAGATAGCCCCACAAAAAGAAATCAGCCGGATTCAGGTCAGGGCTGTAGGGAGGCCAGCTGAACTCAGCTTTCCTCGATATCAGTCTTTCCCCAAAATGCTCCTTCAGCCAAGCCAAACTTTCGTGCGAACAGTGTGGAGGGGCCCCGTCTTGTTGGAATATACAGGAATCAAGTATTTTTTTCCTTTTAAGTACTGGGATTACTTTTCCACGCAACATAGCAATGTAATTTGCTGTCCTTATCGTCTCTGCCTTCTCTTCTTCATTCTCGAAAAAGTGGGGTCCGAAGACACCATGGTAACTGAGGCCCATCCAAACAGTCACCTTTTCTCTGGTTTTTGGACCTTCCACGGTGGCATAGGGTTGCTTATCTGACCAGATTCGGGCATTCTGAGTATTAACCCACCCTGATAGTTGGAAGTGAGCTTCATCGGAGACAATAAGGTTCTTCAAAAAGTTTTGATCAGACTCAATTTTGCTAGCAAATTGCTTGGCAAAGTCCACTCTTTGCTGCTTGTTGGCTGCCGTCTGTTCTTGCAACATCTGAATTTTGTATGGGTATTTGCCTAACTCCTTTCTCAAGATCCTCCAAACGGTTGTGGTAGATAGCTTAGTTCTCTTAGCGATGTTCCTTACAGAACGTCGAGGGCTTTTGTCAAGGATTTGGTCGACTTTTTTGATGTTTTTCTCATTAACTGCCGTTTTTGCACCCCACCTGTTGGTTTCCTTCTGAGAGTCAATTCTCTCTCAAATTTCGTCACTTGTCGCTGAATAGTCCTAAGATGAATTTTCCTGCCTGCATTACCGTATTTCTTTGAAAGTGCCCTCCTAGCAGCAGTCCAACTACTTCCGTTGACATAGAAAAGCTTGACCATGTCTACTCTCATTTCGTCTGATATGCCAGATTTTGACATTTTTTCGAAGAAAATTTCGAAAGGATACAAATTTGCGAAAAGATGAGTTTTGAAACGAATTTGTGAGAGATAACTGAAATGTAAGGTATAACCAGCATTTTAAAACTTTTTTTTTGGAAAACGAAATTAGATATATACAGAATAGTATTACAGGTTATATATAATGAATATCATCATTGTCAAAAATAAAAACCAGTCCATGGGACTGAAAAAATTAATTAACTTTCGATTCGAAAGAGTTAAATTCTAAATCATCCATGTTAGATAATTCTACAGTTCTATTTGAGGTTTTTCTAGATCCTCTTATACATAATAAAATCATTTTTCTAATTAAAAAAGATAACTTACACCGATAATAATTAATAATATCGTTGTAATTCTGTTTTTGTTTATATGCAAGTTTATTGCATAGTAGTTTCTCGAACGTCTTAGCCTGCGGTCCCATGCCACCCGTCACTGAGTAGATTAATGGAGCAAATGATCCGTGCTCTACATTTAAAATCCTTTCGTTGTAACATCTGGATTTCTGTTTCTCGGCATTCTCCATGACTTTCTTTGTCGAATGTTGAAGGTAGGAATTAGAATTAGGATTAATTACCTTAACATCGAAAAAAGCCACTTGGCCTGCCCTATAGAAACCACGAGCTTTTATATCCGGTCTCGCCTGGTCACCCGTAAGTGTCGAAGACCTTGTGAACTGCTCTCCTTCTAGTTCTTGAAGCTGAGGTTCAACTTCCACGTCCGAGCAAACCGTCTTCAACAAGCCTCCTAAAAAATCCCTAATTTCGTTGTGTCTGATAATGATGTAGCCACCAAGATGGCAATTTAGAGAATGGTTCACATCAAACGTTTTTCCACATGGACAGTGTGAAGGTAAACGATCCAGATCTAAGTTGTATCGCAATCTGATAGAATCCCTAAATTCAGATTTATTTAGAACGAAACCATGTTTTCTTAGTGGTAGACATGAGAGCCAATTTGAGCTCCCTGGTTCGCTAATCTGCTCCAAAATCCTTGCAGTCTTCTTGTCAACCTTTTTAAGTATCTCCTCTTGTTGTTCTTTATATTCCAAAACACGCTGTTTTAACATATCTTGAAGCTCATCTCTCGATTCCGTGTCAGTTGTAGCAAGAGATTTTCCTTTCATGGAATTTACCAGTCCCCGGGTTACCAAAAGCGATGCAGCATGTTCTCTTTTCGCTAGATACTCCAACTGTGGCATTCCCATACCTCCGTTCTTTAATGGTAATGACATAAGCTCTCGGTGTATAGGAGATACTGGACAACCAAATATAGTTGGAATAAGCTCATGAGTGATTATTTTGTCAAGAGGGCCCATATAAGAGCTGATATCTAGTGTCCTCATAAAATATGTAAATTTGTGGCGGACACCGTGCGTAAAACAAGCGTAGGCTGCCTGAGGCTGTGATTTGGCAAACTGTACTAACTTTTTTAGCATATCACTCCACTCACATACAAGGTTGTTAATGTAGGTATCCTTGAATTCAGGCGTCCCCAGCACAGCTCCTAAATGCCTTTGACCATCTATTCTGATATCTATATTGCAATCGGAAAATATTTCCTGAGCTGTATGTAAATGTTCGGGATTTTTCAGGATTAAGCAAGATTTCTCCTGGTTCACGAAGTAGCCATACTTAACCCATATAATACCAACAACTCTAAACGTTCGAATTTTTTGATGAAATTTTGTTTCCTAAGCACTGAGGTACCAACTCCGACAGTGCAATAATTATTTTGAAAAAATTTATATTTTTTATAGCTTTTTCGACCCGTACTTTTAAAAGTTCATTGTTGGAGCTTGCGTTTTTGGAACATTGCATCGTACTTTTAAAAGTACATCATATTTGAATGATGTACTTTTAAAAGCACGGGTTTAATAAATAATGTACTTTTAAAAGTACGGGTTTAATGAATAGTGTACTTCTGGAGGTATGTTACTTAATTAAACAGAAACTCAGGGTCAGATAATAAAACTAAAAGCCCTTGTCAGAATGGCTGAATAAAATTTAAACAATACCATACAAAATTTAAGTGGTACACTAAACAAATCATGATGGTGGGAATAGCTATACTTATAAACTACTATCATAATTCCATTTACCAATTTACTAGAATTTTACGAAAATTGTCAGGTTTTGTGATTTTTACTCTAACTAATGATAAGGCTTAAAACAAAGCACACAAAGCGCAACGTCACACACTTCGCACTTAGCCAGACGCTTTTCACAACTTAAAGAATACCTAAAATGGTGAGAATGAGAAGAGAGTAGCAGAAGCTGAGAAAGTTCTAGAGGAACTCAAACAGAAGAGAGTAGCAGAAGCTGAGGGAGTTCTAGAGGAGCAGAAGAGAGTAGCAGAAGCTGAGCGTATTCTAGAGGAGCAGAAGAGAGTAGCAGAAGCTGAGAGAGTTCTAGAGGAGCATAAGAGAGTAGTAGAAGCTGAGAGAGTTCTAGAGGAACAGAAGAGAGTAGCAGAAGCTGAGAGAGTTCTAGAGGAACAGAAGAGAGAAGCTGAAGCTGAGAGAGTTCTAGAGGAGCAGAAGAGAGTAGGAGAAGCTGAGAGAGTTCTAGAGGAGCAGAAGAGAGTAGCAGAAGCTGAGAGAGTTCTAGAGGAGCAGAAGAGAGTAGCAGAAGCTGAGAGAGTTCTAGAGGAGCAGAAGAGAGTAGCAGAAGCTGAGAGAGTTCTAGAGGAGCAGAAGAGAGTAGCAGAAGCTGAGCGAGTTCTAGAGGAGCAGAAGAAGGTAGCAGAAGCTGAGCGTATTCTAGAGGAACAGAAGAGAGTAGCAGAGGTGGAGAGAGTTCTAGAGGAGCAGAAGATAGTAGTAGAAGCTGAGAGAGTTCTAGAGAAACAGAAGAGAGTAGCAGAAGCTGAGAGAGTTCTAGAGGAACAGAAGAGAGTAGCAGAAGCTGAGAGAGTTCTAGAGGAGCAGAAGAGAGTAGCAGAAGCTGAGAGAGTTCTAGAGGAGCAGAAGAAGGTAGCAGAAGCTGAGCGTATTCTAGAGGAACAGAAGAGAGTAGCAGAGGTGGAGAGAGTTCTAGAGGAGCAGAAGAGAGTAGCAGAAGCTAAGCGTATTCTAGAGGAACAGAAGAGAGTAGCAGAAGCTGAGCGTATTCTAGAGGAACAGAAGAGAGTAGCAGAAGCTGAGAGAGTTCTAGAGGAGCAGAAGAGAGTAGCAGAAGCTGAGAGAGTTCTAGAGGAACAGAAGAGAGTAGCAGAAGCTGAGGGAGTTCTAGAGGAGCAGAAGAGAGTAGCAGAAGCTGAGCGTATTCTAGAGGAGCAGAAGAGAGTAGCAGAAGCTGAGAGAGTTCTAGAGGAGCAGAAGAGAGTAGCAGAAGCTGAGAGAGTTCTAGAGGAGCAGAAGAGAGTAGCAGAAGCTGAGAGAGTTCTAGAGGAACAGAAGAGAGAAGCTGAAGCTGAGAGAGTTCTAGAGGAGCAGAAGAGAGTAGGAGAAGCTGAGAGAGTTCTAGAGGAGCAGAAGAGAGTAGCAGAAGCTGAGAGAGTTCTAGAGGAGCAGAAGAAGGTAGCAGAAGCTGAGAGAGTTCTAGAGGAGCAGAAGAGAGTAGCAGAAGCTGAGAGAGTTCTAGAGGAGCAGAAGAGAGTAGCAGAAGCTGAGAGAGTTCTAGAGGAGCAGAAGAAGGTAGCAGAAGCTGAGCGTATTCTAGAGGAACAGAAGAGAGTAGCAGAGGTGGAGAGAGTTCTAGAGGAGCAGAAGATAGTAGTAGAAGCTGAGAGAGTTCTAGAGAAACAGAAGAGAGTAGCAGAAGCTGAGAGAGTTCTAGAGGAACAGAAGAGAGTAGCAGAAGCTGAGAGAGTTCTAGAGGAGCAGAAGAGAGTAGCAGAAGCTGAGAGAGTTCTAGAGGAGCAGAAGAAGGTAGCAGAAGCTGAGCGTATTCTAGAGGAACAGAAGAGAGTAGCAGAGGTGGAGAGAGTTCTAGAGGAGCAGAAGAGAGTAGCAGAAGCTAAGCGTATTCTAGAGGAACAGAAGAGAGTAGCAGAAGCTGAGCGTATTCTAGAGGAACAGAAGAGAGTAGCAGAAGCTGAGAGAGTTCTAGAGGAGCAGAAGAGAGTAGCAGAAGCTGAGAGAGTTCTAGAGGAACAGAAGAGAGTAGCAGAAGCTGAGAGAGTTCTAGAGGAGCAGAAGAGAGTAGCAGAAGCTGAGAGAGTTCTAGAGGAGCAGAAGAGAGTAGCAGAAGCTGAGAGAGTTCTAGAGGAGCAGAAGAGAGTAGCAGAAGCTGAGAGAGTTCTAGAGGAGCAGAAGAGAGTAGCAGAAGCTGAGAGAGTTCTAGAGGAACAGAAGAGAGTAGCAGAAGCTGAGAGAGTTCTAGAGGAGCAGAAGAGAGTAGCAGAAGCTGAGAGAGTTCTAGAGGAGCAGAAGAGAGTAGCAGAAGCTGAGGGAGTTCTAGAGGAGCAGAAGAGAGTAGCAGAAGCTGAGAGAGTTCTAGAGGAGCAGAAGAGAGTAGCAGAAGCTGAGAGAGTCTAGAGGAACAGAAGAGAGTAGCAGAAGCTGAGAGAGTTCTAGAGGAGCAGAAGAAGGTAGCAGAAGCTGAGCGTATTCTAGAGGAACAGAAGAGAGTAGCAGAAGCTGAGAGAGTTCTAGAGGAGCAGAAGAAGGTAGCAGAAGCTGAGCGTATTCTAGAGGAACAGAAGAGAGTAGCAGAGGTGGAGAGAGTTCTAGAGGAACAAAGAGAGTAGCAGAGGTTGAGAGAGTTCTAGAGGAAAAGAAAATAGTAGCAGAAACTGAGAGAGTTCTAGAGGAACAGAAGAGAGTAGCAGAAGCTGAGAGAGTTCTAGAGGAACAGAGAGAGTAGCAGAAGCTGAGAGAGTTCTAGAGGAACAGAAGAGAGTAGCAGAAGCTGAGAGATTCTAGAGAACAGAAGAGAGTAGCAGAAGCTGAGAGAGTTCTAGAGGAACAGAGAGAGTAGCAGAAGCTGAGAAAGTTCTAGAGGAGCAGGAGAGAGTAGCAGAAGCTGAGCGTATTCTAGAGGAACAGAAGAGAGTAGCAGAAGCTTTGAGAGTTCTAGAGGAACAGAAGAGAGTAGCAGAAGCTGAGACAATTCTAGAGGAACAGAAGAGAGTAGCAGAGGCTGAGACAATTCTAGAGGAGCAGAACAACTCAGCTGAGGAAATGCATAGACTACAAGGAAAGGAATCTTATGTTGGACCAGCAGATTGCTGATGGCACACAATCATGTCAGTATTTGATAGTAAATATACATCGGGATTAGGAAACCAGTTACAAGATCTAGGATTGTAAACATTAAGCGGGGGAGGGGGGATCAGGTACCAAGTGCCGTACGTGACGTCGACTAAGTGCAACTTTGGAATTTACAAAAAAGACCCACCCACCCCCTTCGCGGTACTAACTGTTTTTTTTTCGGATAATATTTAGGACACCCACCCCTTTTGCGGTACTAACTGTTGAGAAATCACGGTACTGACTGTGTCTTGGTATATAAAATAAGATACCCACCCATAAATTGCTTTAAACAGTTCATTAAACATTGGGAAATGGGCAAATTATACCCACTATTTAGTAGGGGTTTTGTTTTCAATGCAGTCGAATTAAATAAAAAGTTACAAAAAAAGGAAACAAAATAAAAAAACCCAAAAAAAAGGAAAAAAAACCTCAAAACCAAAAACAAACCATTCCCAATATTGAAATTTGAGGTAAAATGGATATTTTGGGGTTGGACACCCCCTTAGTACCTTGTACTAACTGATTTTCTGGGAAATGAGCAGCAGACCCACCACTTAGTACAAATGTACTAACTGTGTTTTGGAAGAAAATATGACCCACCCCCCCCCCCCCCAACGTCACGTACGATTCTGACCTTATGATCCCCCCCCACCCCCGCATTAACTCATTAAGAAAGAGTATATTGAAGGCCGCTCTGGAAGACGTGGAATAACCGAGTGAAAACGTGGATCCTTCAAGATCGACTAAATCCCAGAAGTAACAACAACAAGTTTTTGTTGTGACTTCCGTTCTGATTCAGAACAATTTACCTACCATTACAGTCTTACCGACATTAATCATACCAGCACACATTGTGTAGTCTATATAAACCTGTACTTTTAAAAGTACATTTTTCTTGAAACCTGTCCTTTTAAAAGTACATCATTCGAAGATAATGTACTTTTAAAAGTACGTACTTTTGAAAGTACATCATTGTCCAGAATGATGTACTTTTAAAAGTACACCCAATTTACATCTCAATTAGAGACAATTTATGATTTTTATCTCGCCCCACATTATTGCCTATTTATTGCACAATCGTTTAGGCAATATTAAAAAACCAAATTTGGGATCCATCAAAGTTGGAGAATTGGCTGGTGGTACCGAGAATTTACCTTTTTTCAAAGTAACATTTTTGACCACCTTTGCCAACATCCTATAAATTTCTTGCTTTTTTTAACCATCTGGTCAGGGTGTTAAAATCATCAGCAGACTTTTTCTAACCTAATGCAAAAAACTGTATCAAAAAATATTTGTCATGAGACAAGTTAGGTCACTGTTTATGAACCGTACTTTTAAAAGTACCGTGGAAGAATATGGGTTAAGTCCTTCTTCAATGATATCTTTCCACCATCCTAAAAGTGCGTGAAGAGTACCCACTCCTGTGGCGTCATCTGCTAACCATACTTGTGCCACTTTTTCGTGATCTTCTAATTTCCGTAGTACTGGTAGAGTTGCAATGGCAAAAAGCGACATTGCCAGGTTATCGCCCTGGGTTGTACCCTCCCGACTCGGGATTTCAGCTCCCCCAACAAATAGCCGGCATGGTTTCCGGTACATGTTGATTGCAATCATGCTCAACTCCGGGCATAGTACTCTCACGTTGTGTAAGAGAGCTTGTCTGTTAACAGAATTAAAAGCGTTACTGGCGTCAACTAAAATCACTGCTTCTGCAGATTCTGTTTCGAATTGCTCCCGCATGTAATGTAGCATTTTAAAACCGATTGCATCTAATTTTGCTCCTTCATAAAATTAAAAATTAAAATTTTAAATTTGGACACAAGTCTCGAAACACCCTGTACTTGAACGCTTTCAAATTCCTGTTCCGATGCGAAAAGTGAGTAAAAATACCTATCTTTATCCAATTAAATTCTGAGTTTCCCAATTAATTTTTGAGAAGTGTTATCTATGTCACCTATGTTTAATCCAAGATACTTGCACCAGCTTATTGAAGTTTAATAAACTGTGTCGTGTTTCTTCAGTTCGGTTAATCTAACAATAACATATTTCTTCACTTGTAAAGTTGTATTTACGCCCAAACATGTTTCTGATTTGCGGTTTTAATTGATTCCTGTTTTAAACACCCGGTTCCGGTCCGGCATAATCCGGCTAACCGGAAAAGAAATTGATATCCGGCCGTTTCTGGTCCGGCAGCCAAAAGCCCATACTGGTCGGTTCCTATCCTAGAAGAGAGATGTCAAATAGCAAATTTCAGAATATGTATCGTATTCACTATTCTTAGTGTGAACACCGGAGTGCTCTATGAGGGTATTAAATGTTTTGAGCCGCGTTTTCATGTAATAGAACCGTCATTAAACTCATATTAAAACCCTCGTACTCTTCTTCCAGACGCTGTAGACCAGACAAACAGTGGCTGGTTTATTGAGAACACCAGCAGCTGCACCACCTTTTTTCCATGCGGTCGGGTGGACTAAAACTTCACTAGTTCCGGTTGTTTTTAAACGTACGTGTTTAAATAACTGATGATATTTATTAAAACTGTTTAATTTCTGATATAGTTGTTTAACGTTTGCGGAGGTTAAAATTGAAGCAGCTTTGAAGATGCGAGTTTTCCTCATTTTGGTTCTTCTGGCGGTATGTTGTTCAGGTAAGTGATATTCTTTCATTTCTTTGTTTTTACAAAGAACTTGTTAAGGTCGTTTAATAGTAAATACGTTAATAACTGACAAAATGTTTAAACTTAGCCCCTAGGTATGTGGTCAATCAATAATTTCTTCCACTAGTTCCAAATTGCTTCAAAACATGTTCGCAGCCAAAGTTGACATGAAGAAATACAGGAAAGCTTTGAAAAAGACAGGCGTGCTGAAGAAACTGTACAAAGAGAAGTTTGGCGATGACATGACGAGCGAGAAGCTGGCTAATTTTAAGGAGGCTCTGCAGTTCGTAGTGGGGAACAATGATAACCCTGGTACAGTCTCAAAATCCATGTCACAAGCTTTTTCTATTCGCGATTTTTATCATTGCTAGATGTAGAATTTGTTGTTTTCTATCAGAAAATATTTAATTTGTGTTTCATTCGTGGATTAATAACTTATCAGATATATTCTCCAGTCTTTACTTATTAATTTATGATTATATTTATAACATGTATAATACATCACCACCTGATTTTAGTACATTCCCGTGCAATAATCAATAAACCAACTTCACCAGATATTGGGTGGGTGAGTGATGTCAACTTCTTTGCACCGGAGAGCAAGGAGAAAAGGGATGATATCTTGCTCAGACCAGAAGCTGGCACAGGATTTGACTATTCCGGAATGACCTTCCCTTTGGGTGAATTCATTATTCAGTTTAAAATTAAGACTGGAAGAGCCATTTAAGGGCCAATTTAAATATTTCCAGCGGGATTCTGTCGAACATAATATTCTACAGCCCCTTGATATCCTCAATTATCTGTAATTTCAAAAACAGTCAGCTGAAGGAAAGCCATACATGTTTAATGATAGTTTAATTTCAAAAGAGAGTAAATTAATGTGTCCAATTTAAGGTTAAGAAATACTATATAGGTGTAATAAAAGAGGAGAACGTCAATGTACTATTATAGTTGAAAAAAAAAGTAGAGAGAGTGACATCTCGTGATTTTATCAATTCAGGCGCTTTTCATAAAAGGAACTTGATTATGAAACATAACCAGTAGCCCATTTGGAACACAAGCATTTGTCACAAACCAACGAATTTATAAGCCGTCTTGGACAAATCGCCTAGACTTTAGTCGCTCAGGTAAAGACAAAGTAAGAAAGTATAAGCCCTGAACCCGGACCCCCACTCTAGCCCAAAAACACTTTCCAACTTTGAAACTGAGCCACAGAACCATTTCTGGACAGAGTTTCAACATTCTAAAACGGTCAAATGATATAAAGTATAAGCCCTGAGCCCCAACTCTAGCTGAAAAACACTTTCCGCAACTTTGAAACTGAGGAACTGAGTGACAGAACTATTTCTGTATAGAGTTTTAACATTTTAACATTCTAACAATCCCAAATAATGGTGCTAAGAACACGCGCAGTCATCTGAATAAATAAATAATGCTTGTCTAGGAAGTAACGAGAAAGATTCTGTAGATTGGGTGGCGGATGGGTACGTGAGGGAGGTCCGGGACCAAACAACAGACTGCCGTGCTTGTTGGGCCTTCGCTGCACTCGTCTCCTTGGAGGGTAGATACCAGGTTTGAATGGCTGTTCTACTTTAGATACGTCACTTTGTTGCGAGCTTTAGTTGCGAGCTTTGATGACTATCTAAATCTAAGAAATCTGACTGGTACTGATACACAATTATTTGTACTGAATCTAATAGAGTTTCTTTCGTTCCACTAATGTGCCTTTTTTCCGATAAACCCATAATTTCAGATCCTTACAAATAGTGCAGTTGAGTTCAGTGTGCAAGAATTAATCGACTGCGTGTACTGGGCTGACGGTAATAAATTTGGTTCCCTATAAAATAAAACTGATTGTTTCCCTCTTTTGAGTTTATTTTTGTACATTCTTGATTGTTGCGTTTAATACTTTTTCATATTTTGCTCTCATTTGTTCCAAAGATCCAATACCTTTTTCTCTTTCTTCAAGTTCCATAATTTGTTAGGAAGAGATCAAGATGGCTGTTATGGAGGGACCTACAACGACGTTTATAAATTTATTCAAAAGTTCGGGCATCTTGCCGAGGAAGGAACAGCGTCTTATAAGAGTGAAGCAGGGAGTTGCGAATATAACGATGTAACTAACGGACTAGTCACTGCTCACCTTGACAGTAAGTATTTCAACATGATATTGCGGAGTGTGAAGATTGATGGTTAGATCACTTTTTATCCTGATTTTGCAAGTCTTTTACTGACTTTTGCATTAGTAGAGGCTCTTACGGGCATTGTCTGCTCGATACGCTAGGGACTCCAGATACACCTTACTAGACGTATTTTTGACCGTAGAATCGATTAAAAGTGGTTTTAAGATGATTGGACTGACTTTTTGGGGGTAAAATTGCAAAAAAACCGATTTTTGGGCAAAAAATAGGCCAAAAAACCATGTTTTTTGATATTTTGAACTAGTTAATTTTGTTGGCATGTCGGCAAAACTTGCATGGAGATAGCTAAAACACAGCCGCACAAGATGATATAAAAATTTGAAAAATCCCTCTATTTTTTTTGGGGTAAAAATCCAAAAAAGTGGTAAAAATGTTGACTTTTTTGCTTGAAGTTTGAATAATTTTTTGCAGTTGTATTAAATCAATCTAAAAATAGTCACATCGTGTTTGCCTAAATTTTTCCTTTCCGAGAAGTACCCACTTCATATATTTTATCGAAGTTTGAATATTGTCACTCCGCAAGCGTTTTTGCCAAATTTTCGACGCGCACTACGCGCAAAAGCATTTAGTTGTTATCAAATGGCACCCGCGCGTTCATCATAAATTTCAAACAGCTATAACTCAGCGAGATTATGTCCGTTCTAGCTCATATTTTCACACCAAATAGAAAATAATGTGATCTTATTGCTGACAAAATATGAATATAATTACTCTATTTGCCTTAGAGTAATAGACTGTCAAAGTTTAAAACGCGCATTGGTATAGCACGTGACTAATAAGGCCAAATTTATACTTCTTAACATATTATCGATCCTTAAACATTATACTATTATGTCCAATTAGCGGTTAGGTCTCTAAACTCGTAGCAGAAAACACGTCTTTTTGCCCGTAAGAGCCTCTACTACATCATCTCCCAAACATTTCACGTGATAACAAGACGCATTTCACTTGATAATAGAGTTATTTACTAATAGGACACAATTCCCTCACTCAGGTACAACGCCTTATACAGCGGTGGATTACCAAGATCAGACCATCATTGATACGTTGTTGGAAGGTCCTATTACCACTGCTGTACATACCACTGAGGCTTTCCTCTTTTACAGCTCAGGTATTTCATGATTTGTCAAACAGCAATTTTATATTGTATAGTTGTGCGAAAAACCGTATCCAAATAATCAATTAATTAAATAATAATTAATTGATTTTTTCTCATTCTAGGCGTATTCAGAGATGACAGCTGTGATACCTTGATACCAAATCATGCTGTGGGACTGGTGGGATACGACCAGTCCTCGTTCAGAGTAAAGAATAGCTGGGGAACACACTGGGGTGATGGAGGTTAGTGGTGACGTCAAAGAGGGTGTTAGAGGGTGTTAGAGGGTGTTAGAGGGTGTAACAGAGTACCAAATAATAACCAGTTGATAACCACCTCATACCGCTATACTTGAAAATTCACGTCATCAAACGTAAATAAAGGCTAGCTTACATTTGTTAATAACCAAGGCTCTATAAACAAATTACCTACTGTCAGCTTGTAAATTTAAGTAATTGTCAGGGTACATGAGTGTAGCTCGGGGACACCACGGCTGTGGTATTGTTTTCTACGGAGTTGTTCCTAACCTGGTGGAGGGTGCTCCTACCACTGAAACCATCGCTCAACGATGTGAGCTTCAATTTGTGTACTTTATTGAATGGAGAAACGAATACAGTTTCATAAGATAATTAACGTTTTATCAACTGATTTACTATCGAATAATCATATCATATCTGATGGATCATTTCATATCAGATGTTTTTAGTTATAAAATTAATTAGCTGATTTTAAAAGGGTTTTTGTTTCAGCCGCCTGTTCGGATAAGTGGGAGCCGTCGTTCTGTGCTCAATATCTCGCATATTGCGCATATTACAAGGATTACTGTGCTGCGTCATGTGGTGTCTGTTAGTTTTCAAGTGGACGTTTTCGCTTCGGCGTGTTGCGCGCATTACCATGCATGCTTCGCTTGGAGAAATTGTAGCAGGAGCTACGAGCTGGAAAGGATTGATATCGTCAATCAACCTGAAGCCAGGAATTATATCAGAATTGCACGCACAGACTACCTCGAGCCCCATTGGTCGAGAGCAAGTTTATAAGATTGGAATATGTTTCGTGAATATGTCATTATCAACTTTCTGGTTCGTAAAACTAATTTATTTAGTTTTCGTGTTAAATCATGTTTCATATTGTACGAGCAAACTATTTCATCTTTTAAGTTCATACTCAATTTAGTAGCCAGTTGACTCGACACTATGTAGAAAAAATTATGTACAGTCGGCTTGGTTCAAACGACTCAATGATAACAATACATACTTAAAAACGTACTTCTAATCAGAAAATGGCGTTTTTGCGAGCTTTTCATTACCTAATTTGTACAGATTTCAACGTAAAAATGTTTAGCTCCATAACAGGATCACTACAACTCTATAATCAATATTTATATTAATTACAATCATTTCTTTAAGCCTCTTATCAATCGAAAGATAACTTTATCGCTACAGGGTTAAATGAAAGCTCTAATATTATACTGTAAACCTATGCTGACACTACAGCTATGTACAATTTACAATGATTCACACAACTATTCTTCGGCGCGATTTGAACTGCATTTTACGTCATACAATCAACAATACGCTATATTCCGATCAGTTTTGTTGTAAAATGTTAGTAAAAGCCGGACACAACTGCTGCCTCGAATGCACAGCTGGCTTTGCCTTCAAGGCTCCAATATGAATAAGTAAGTAATGTAGCTGCAATTTAAACTCAACAATCTATAAAACATGTACTCAATAGAAGTATCCTGTCAGCAAACTTTAAAACTGTTTCAGAGCCTTTGTATTTCTAGGGTAAAGTCAGTGAATGGTCCTGATTTCAGCTAGGTATCATTTCAACCTCTATTTATCTTGGAGAATGTGAATTTCCCATCCGGTCTTAAACTTCAATTCTTCGTTAATCTTTCCTTGGCCCTGACGCCCATCATACTTTAAGAAGGTGCCTGTTTTTGAAGCTCCAAATGCTTTGTATAAGAGCATCTTCACCGCTTGGAGCAAATCTGATCGGGGATATGTAGATGTTGTCCACTGATTCTGTACGGGAGTCGCTGAACTCTTGTAGTCTGTCAACTATCTATAAATGGGTATATGATCAAGTTATAAGTTTACCTAAGCAACCCAAAAGTCCCACGAATCAGTTATTTTAGATACAAAATGTTTGATTTATGTATTTCACAAGAGATGTGCCAACCTGTTTCCTAACATTGAGTATTTCCACTTCACTCCAGTTCTTCTGTATCTTCTCTGCAAATTCTTTAGTTTGTTTCACCATTTTCAGCTTATCTTCTGTTTGCTCTATCTTTCCGTTGATAGTCCTGTTGAGGGCTGACCTTTTTGTGCTCAGATGAGACAACAGCTCGTCTTCTCTAGTCCTGGAATTTAGAAGTCACTGAAAAGGAGGAATACCTTTTTCATACCAGTATGGTATTTCTTGGTAAAGAATAATATCTGGAGACGACTGTACAGTGTACAGTGTACATGATCGCTCGATAGAAAAATCGTTTATTTCCTTTTTGTTCATCAAAGGGTGAAAGTTGGTGTTAAAATATTAACACTCACTTAATATTTTGTATCATCCTCTGGCTGAACTCTTTCAAAGTTCTCTTCGCCGTTTCGTGATCTATTTGCACCTGATATTTGAAAACACTATGAATGGTTTTATCCAAATTTCAAGAGGATATTGGATATACCCTGTTATGTGGACAATCAGAACTCAGATTCAATATTTTGGATTATTGATTATATATTTATAGAGCTATAGAGCTACCAATAAAATTCAAAAATTCCTGTTACTTTCCAACATGAGCGAAATTTCAAAAAATCCACAACAAACATACTTCATTGGCCATCTTTTTCAGAGCAATAACTTTCTGTTTCTCGACACTCATCTTCTCTCCAGCCTTGGGACCCAGAGACAGCAACTCCCTCTTCGCTCTCTGTGCAGCATTGGCTACACTGCACGTGGAGTGTGTCCTGTGCTGGGTGATACAGCACAGCGAGCACAGGGCTTTGTCACATTCCCTGGAGTATTCATATTAGTAATGTTAGTAATATTAGTAATATTAGTAATATTTGTAATATTGCTTCTACTCATGGTTGTTAACATGATCTAGCCTTTGAACGCTGAGTAAGCAGGATGATACACGTTGTACTAAAATCATTAACTTCTCGATATGGGTTACTAAAGCTACTAGTATAATCATAATGTATATAATGATAATGTGTATGTTCTAAATAGCACAAGGAGCTCTTTCGCAATGCCATATGTTTTATATCTCACTCACAAGCAGTAGAGTTCGAGGGATCTAGTAGTATGAACCGCGCAGTACTCCTGCTCCCGGACGGCCGACAGAGAGTGTATGTTGTTGGCGACATCCTTCACCGCGATTATGTTGTGGTCGTGGGTGGCGCGGGATTTGTGGTGGAACTCGGCGTGACTGGAGCAATAGTTCTCACTGCATTTCATGCACCTGTCGAGGTGAAGTGATTGTTATCCAGTTTTTATTTATCCTTGGATGGACACTGGACAGTGCTATAGATATTACTTTTGTTTATGAACACAAAAGCCTGAGGTCCCCAGGTAATATAGAAATTAGGACTTTTTGCTTAAAATTAATATTAAGGTAATGTACTCATTGTGCTATTATGGCAATTTCTGTTCTATGTTTTACTTTTATATCGTCGTATTTTTCGAATAATAATTTTCGTGCTGTATTATTTTATCAGCACTACTAATTATCGCAACCTTTGAATATTAGAAAATTGTGAACTTAAAATTTAGTACCTGAAATGGGCAGCTCTATTGCATCCCATACATTTCAGCCGTTCAGTCTGCTCTGATTCTAACAGATTGAAAATCTGAACCATCTTAGTAACATAGTAGTTTACTTTCAAGCTTGATATTCCGTCAGTACCTGAATAAACTTTGTTCTGAACGAGATTGGAAAATGTTAAATCGTGCTTGTGATTCAGAATTTTATTCTTGTTTAACAATTTTTGATTATATTAAGTAACACGTGAATTGCAAAATATGAGGTGGGTCTTGATCTGATAAGTGGCTTTAAAGTCTAGCTACCGTTCAAACAATGCAGTTAGAGAATATGTCTTAATACTTTAAACACTACTATATACATAGATGCGGAGTTCGTTGATTTTTGGCGTAGAGTTCGTGGAGTTCGTTCAAAATTTGGAGTTCGTTAGAGTTCGTTGGAGTTCGTTAGTCAATTTTTCAAAAAAAAAACATACAAAAAAACTGTACATTATTATATCAACTTTACTGTAGTACTGTACACTGTCTACTTTACTGCTGAAAGTTGTACCTACAATGACATTTGAATCATCAACTATACCTATAAGTCTATACACAGTGCAATTCAATTTCAAAATAGTTCAGTCTGCTGTACATGGCAAAATAAAATGTATACATCATACATGAACACTGAATGTACAATGTACATTCGGTGTGATCACAGCTGTTTACAGCAGAAGAAAACGAAACGCAACGCCAGAAGTACAAGTTGAAGTTTTCTGCAACGTGTCCAGGGAACGTGCGCGCGCAAACTATTGGCGCCAGAATGTTCCAGTCGATCGACCAGTCCTTGTACTGTGAAATGTACAGTGTACACGCGACGCGTGGTAGAAGTTTCGAGTACCAATATATTTAGTTGTTTTACAATCGTATGTTATGTGTTGAATTGGCTGAATTGTAAATACAATTTCTGTTTAATTTCATTTTACGTAAGTTGTACAAAACGAACTCCTCAAGAGTTCGTAATTTTGGGTTGATGAGTTCGTAGAGTTCGTTGTCACTGAGGAGTTCGTAGAGTTCGTACGTATCATCTATGACTATATATAGTAGTGTTTAAAGTATTAAGTATTAAGTATTTGTTATATATAACAAATAATTTGAGGAGGTTCTCTTAAGATGATATTTTATTCGAAGATTTCAAGAGCCTAAAATGTGTATGATTCGCCTCTCCAAAAAAATCTTTAAAAAATCTAAAGAATATGTCTTACCCAGGCTGTATTTCTCTTTACATATCGGGCAGGCGTGGGCAAGTATCCCCTCTAAATGTAAGCATCCCTCGCAAACAGTGTGAAAACACGGCAACAACCTGCGGAGTTGCTGTTGTCAGATTTAATGTAATTATATTTCAAGCATTAATCATGATAGATATTGACCGCAAAATCGTTATACGTACCTAGCTTGCGATTGACGAAACCATTTTTTTACGAATTCTGAAATTGGTCGTTAAACATCGTTTAACACATCGAATATTAAAAGTCTAAAGATTTAATACTCGTGGATTTGTTTGTGGTAATCCATCGAACAAAAGTTCTTGAGTGGATGCTTCTGAGATATTTAAACCATGCTCATTGATCACAGCTTCCGTGGTATGATCATAGTGTAAATGTAAGCGATGTGTAGGATGGATGGAAAAGGAAGGGAGTTTTCAATTATTGTGGTATAATTAACCACTTATAATGGTAAATTTATTTCTGGAGATATATTGCTCTTGAGTAGTGCGTACAGGCTCCAGGATCTACAGAATGAAATTGGAAATCAGTAGTCTCTTTTTATTAATGATTGATGAATTCATGAGCCGTGCTTTTTTAATCTTTAAAAAATTTTGTAATAAGGAAGAATCGATTTATTGAATGACAGCCAAAAGACTGAATTGAACAGCTTTCCCATTGTATGTGCAACACAATTTTGAAGGTGGCCAATCTAGGTGGCAACTGGCGATTCTAGAATCTACGTTTTTCAATGAAGTTTATTTAATATTATAATATTCAACAAAAGCACACATCTTCTCTGTCTTGTCAAAAAGTAAAAGGGAAACGCTCTAAGACGATCGCAGAATGGATAGAGTAGCTCTATTGAAATATTCTAGAGCAAAAAGGTTCCATCCGTGATCCAATTACTAGGGTTATCTCCGAGAATTTCGAGGGTGAGCCGGGTTGAGAAAACATAGCGTCTTGATCTATATTCTCCGACTGTTACGCCGTCAAACAGGCAAAGTACTCCTCCCTCAGTGTAGTCAGGTGAGGGGTAGGAAACAGTCTGTTAAAGAGGAGGTTTCGGAGGTTTGATTGATGCGGACTTCTTTGCTCCCGGCCGCTGGACAACTTTGGTGAGGAACTCCAGTTTCGGAGCGTCACGTTGATATCTAGCATATAGATATAGGTAGTGCGCCATCGACAGTGAGCCGCGCGTGCCGACTGTAGGATGGTTTTTTAGCGCTAATTTCGGCCAGCACAATTTTCTTCAAACAAATAGATATTGAGTATCCTTCCCGACCTCTAATTGCAACAAAAATTAGTAAGCTTACTCATAAACTTACAAGGAAAGTGTCCGAAAAATTTAAAGCATATCCAACCATCAGACATTATGTTACAGCTAAAAGCAGCGTATTTTGCCAATTTCCAGAATGATCTCATTTAAGGAACTGGAGATAAATCCGAATAATACGACAAAAATGGTCAAATTTGGACGAATTTGGTCAAATTACGCGACTTTTACAACTACTTTTGCTCCAAAAGCCGCGCACCATCAAATATGGCACCTAGGTGAAACTCACTGATCTTTCCAAAAAGGTATGACAAATTTGGTATTGTGAAAATTCTCACAGTCTCTAGAAAACAGTGGTACAAAAATTTTAAAAATCCGAGCAAGTTTATTTTTATCGTGCACCCCCTAATAGATAGTGCTTTGGTTATGAGATTCTGGGTGAATGAGAGGTTTGCAGCTTTTGATCACTTCAAGCTTGTTCTGTACTCCGCTGTGTCTTTGTGTCCGCTAGTAAGGGTATGATCTTCAAGGTCAAGGAATACTGTAGAAGGTAGTAGCACTGGAAGACACGAGGTCTGAACCAAGGCTGACCCTCGAGCCAACCTGAAAATCTGATCTACAAAGATTTGGGTGAAGTTGTTGTATTCGGCTGCAGTTGTCACACGATCTTGGTTAAATTGTCAGTTTTGGTCGGGATTTGCACTGATTAACACGGTTTGGTACCCTGTTTACTGTGTGGGAACCAGGGACGAAAGGAAATCGCGGCATGTGCGGAATCGTGATTTTTCCCATTATTTGCGACAAATTTTATGTATAGTCTTATGTATAGTCTGTTAAAAATCGGGGTATCGCGATTTTTGGGCAAAATAATCGCGATTTTCTTTTGTCCCTGGTGGGAACAGGATCTAATCGGGTAAATTTGTCGATCGCCCCAAAAATTAATTAAAAAACTAAATTGTATTATTTTAAAATTGACCACCATTTTGTGTTGATTTTCTGTACGCATGACGTCAGGTCGGTCTAACTTCAACGACACTACTAAGTATTTAAAACTCTTTACCAATTAATAAATCGAACCTGGGTAGTTTGGCGATCTGATTGAAGCGTTCTTTACACGATGAACAGTGAACCTCGCTGGAACAGTCCTGAAGGACTGACCCGTTAACTCTGCTTGGGACGATTGAGAGACGTGAGGGAACTGGAGCACTTGCTTCTGCTATCATACTGCTGGTGGAGAGATTTGGTTTGAACTACGTACCATCAATCAATCAAACAAATTTGTTGACTGGTATATCGTGACGGTATAATTTAACATTAAGGACGGTGGTATTTTTCATTAAGAGATTTTTAGAGGCGCTGTTGGCAAAGACACACTAATTGTCCCGTTGACTAACAGAAACGAAACATAACAGCTCCATGCACGTTTGACGAATCGTAAACAACTGAAAAGCTTAGACTATCCATAACAAATGTTTAAACATTTCCAATTTTAAAGATTCCGATATTTATACTGTTGGAGAAACGTGAATGGTGAAGAAGGTCCAAAGTATGGATACTGAGGTGCGATATACTTGCTTTGTTGATATAAAACTTCTCCCTTCAGTGATATTTCTCACGTTCAAATTTACAGCGTGCTTTCAAATTGTATTTTAAAAACGTTTGAAAGTGCAATGTATTTTGTGTATGATGAGTCAAAGGAAACCGTTGATGTATGTTTATGTATAGAATATAATAGCGTGGGAGGTAAGAATTAAAAGTTTGAACCAAGCCCACACAACAATTTACGCCTGGATTGGTTTGTCAGCGGTTCTGTATTGTCAATAGCTCAGCTGATCGCATGACCACAACTTTAGACTATCACGGTGTACTTCATCAAATACTCATCATGTTAATTCAGGTCCATATTACATCAACAAATGTAGGAAAAGTTTAACCTGGAAAGGCTTGAATAAGCTACAAATAGGAGAAATCCATTCAATATTTCTTTCGTTTGTAAAACAAACGTGGGTTTTCGCCACCTGATGCAGCAAACTGTGATATTGTATCAAAAAACGACAAACAAAGCTACGGATATCTTGATATCAGCAAATATACTCGATCAAGCAAGTTTAAAAGTCCGGGCATATTATAAGTGTTCGCACGGATTGAGGAGTAACGTGACCGTGATGTTAAAGTATGAATATATCTCGGCATGTGCAGGCCCTTTTGTATTCGACCTTTTGTTTAGGGGAAGCGTTTTGTGACTGTAATTCTTGCAAAGTGATTCTGTCCATTTTTTAGCCCTTATGTAACTCTCCGGAGCGCACTAATTATTGTAACATTTGTCCCTTTGAGAAACATTTTAATACCAGCACTTGGCTCGTTTATCAGCCACCCACGATTAAAAACATTTAAACGGCCGATGTAACTTAAACTTGTGGTCACATGATTACTCCACTTGATTGTTGCAATGCTGGCTCATAACCACAAACTTACGTGCACGATGTTCGGATGTTCCGGAGACATAAAGGTAATTTGAAGTACAGAATAATAGAATAATGGAAGCTGAATAGGAGTGGTGGAGTGAGGGAGAGGAGTCATCACAACACCAGACAACTCGTCAAACAACTGATGTATCACACACACACTCACACGTACAACAAATCGGATGGTAGTCTTAATTGTATCGAAGAGGAGGAATGCTATATCGACTTATAACAACAAAATAATAACCAAATCATCAGTCATGAAATGTCTTTAATTCGGTGGAAAAGTGTAGTTTGAAGCGTCTGAGAATGATTTACAACGAGGAGCTACTACGAGGTTCAAGTTAGCCGTTGTTCAAATGAGTCAAATATCTTGTTGGACCCCCCCCCCCCCCTTCCATGTGTATGGATTACGAGATGACATGCTGAAAAACTAAACCTACTTTAAAATGAATAGAACAGCTTGACGATTCATGAATGTTGACCGAATTACTGTCTCAGATACCTGTTTTAAGAAAGCACACATTAAAAAATATATATTGTGTACAAAACTTAAGGCCGGAATCATGCATGCGCGAAAACCGCTCCTTTCGAAGTTGAGGACATAGTGTCTACCACAATAAGTGGAGGAGGTAAGACTCAATCACGACTTGTACCAAGTATTGTGATGGGCCACACAGTAAATTAGTTGGTAAAACATAAAAACAAGGTTGATGAGGTGGATCTGCACCGCTTCAACCGGTTCCGCAACTCTTCTTAACACTTTGAAGAACTTTCTTCATTTTGTTATAGTGGTTAACATTTTTGTAATACCGAGAAATACCACGACATACCAAGAAATACCACGAAATACCACGAAATACATATTATGCTTACACAGTGAATAAAGACACTGTTACAGTTAAAAAAGACACTGTGTTTATTGTAATGGAAATGAAGCTTTTACATTGGAGATGGTCGATCGGGATTGGGGTCATTCACATCGTCTTTGTCCATCTTTGTTCCTGCATTATATAGTAGTGTTGAAAGTATCAAATAAGTCAAATCACATGAACAACGCCTATAAACTAAATCTCAAAGGAAAAATAACGAAATGGTTCAAATAAAAGTGAAAAAGCAGAAACTCTAAATCTGTAAAAATGATATATTACTATTAAGATCACATAGTCGCTGATCAATCAAAATGATTTAAACCTTGTTAAATAACAACCGCACAAATCGATAAATCGTCCTCGATCATGCAAACCATCATGCATTATGATCGTTATAACCGCAGGTTCATGGAGTCAAACGTTTAGTTTAAAGCATTTGACCCAGTCAAAAAAGTTTCAGTTGTATATCTTTGACGGTTTTTGCAGAAATTCGCGTTAAAGTTGATGCCGTGGTGTCAGTAAAATGGCACGGATAAATATTAAATATATATATATATATATCGTCTCGCTTTATATATAAGTAAGATATATATATATATGAATCCGTGCCATTTTACTGAGAATACGGGTTCCTGCTAGTATATGGAATTTACCGTCTTCGCAAAAACCATATTCTGTGAATCAGTGTAAAACATCTCAGTTCATTATTTCCTAACAGTACTTTACCTGGGGCTATTACCTGGGGCTATTATGTTAGAATAGAGATTCTGAACGCCGCCCAGTAAAACAGCACTGTGTGTCCCTTTATTGCTTTGTCCAGGCGGGCCTAATCGGTCTTCATTACTGCACTCGGCAAATGTCAGCCTCTTCCACCAGAAATCGTAATAGCTCGCGGGGTATAGGAGGGACGACTGTAGGATTTCTGGAAGAGGCGATAAAGATTCTCGACAGCTCAGTCCTAATCACATAATGGGCTGAATGTAGTGAATAGAATGACGCAGTTATATAGGAAACGATTAAAACTCACATAGAATCTCTTGTGCGCTCCTTTAGCTTTACTTGCTCTATTTCCTAACAGTGCACTGACTATTTGTCAGACTCATAATCTTTTCGTTGACGAGACAGTGAAGGTACACTGTACAGCATTCACGATCCCTCACCTTTATTCTTTTGTTGCATGGCTTTTGCCATGTACTGCAAAGCTCTCCGGCCTGGTTTTCTGGAAACAATTAATATTCATATAATCAAATACTATTTAAAGGAGATGAGACCTGATTCTCTCACAAACCAATGGGCCGCCCCAACTCATGAGCTTAATCGTGTACTAGCTTATCTGTAAGAATCTCGTAAGAAGCAATAAGCATCGAGTGGGTGCAAGGTGATGGGTGCACGTGACACAAAAATATCACCTCGGTCCTTTTTTCGTAGATAAGTACACTATTAGTATTTAAGGGTTAGAGTCATCAAACTGATACTCTTTGTAATTCTACGCTCAGGATCCACACCACCTGACTAATGTACTTGTGAACGTTGTACATTAAAAACTAAAGCAATAATGTTGCAGGATGAATCGTTCAATCAAACTGTTTATTGTGCAATGGTTACTCGGTTTTCTTGTAGCCACTCAATCACAGCTTACAGGTGAGCTAATCGTATTATTAGTGGTCGATGCGTTATTTTTTTAATGGGATATTTTGTTTATTGATGTCATAAATTAATAGAAACTTAGATTAGAGGATTCATCATTTAAACAGCAAATTGGGAGTAGAATGTATCTATCTGATATCGGGTCTAATATAATATCGTTGTAGAGCCAAGGTCAGAGGTAGCAGAAATAACTCCAACAGAAGTTACAAACGGAAAAACGTACAATAACAATGAGGAACGTTATGCAGCAGCACATGCAGTTGATAAAGACCTCTCAACTGTAGCAGCCACTGAAACTGATAACGGAGCAGGCTGGCTAAAGTTAGACTTTGATAAAACCTACTTTATCCACAAGGTCCTTATCTACTACCGGTTCTACACCAACTGGTACGACCCTGATAATTGGTGTGTACAAAGTGAAGCTAACTTTAGGGCCTGTGTGGATGATAGTAACAACGTAGATCTGTCAGTGTACCAGGGAGAGGTAAAACAGGGGTCTTGTGGAACACTCCAACCAACATACGGACTAGAGCAGGCAGACCAGATATACACACTGATCTGTAACACTGAAGGAGATACTGTAAAACTCAGTAAGAGTACTGGAAACATAGCGGTCTATGAAGTTGTTGTGACCGGAACAGGTACTTCAATAAACACTTTGAAAATAGTTTGTAACTTAATTCTAGGAACTCTACTTAAATCATTGAACATATTTTTTTAATCATTCTGACACATACGTAAAATTAATAAATTTACAGTAACATTCAAGTATAAAGAAGCAATCAAGCTAGCATTTAGTAAATAGTTCTTCGTATTTCAGTTCGGAGACGAGAAATATTCGAGATAACTCCAAGAGGAGTTACACAAGGAACAACGCTCCAAAACAACGAGGAACGTTTTTTAGCAGCACATGCAGTTGATAAAGACCTCTCAACGTCGGCAGCCACTGAAACTGATAACGGAGCAGTCTGGTTAAAACTAGAGTTTGATAGAATCCATTTTATCCAAAAGGTTCAAATCTACTGGGGGTTCTACACTGACTGGTACCTGCCAAGTGATTACTGTGCAAGAAATGAAGCTCATTTTAAGGGCTGTGTAGACAGAGATAACAACGTAGATGTGTCAGTGTATCAGGGAGTCGTAAAACAGGGGTCTTGTGGAACACTTCAACTCACATACGGACTAGAGCAGGCAGACCAGATCTACACACTGATCTGTAACACTGAAGGAGATACTGTAAAAGTCAGTAAGAGTACTGGAAACATAGTGGTCTATGAAATTGCAGTGTTCACAGGTAATTGGTCTCTTTCGTGGATCGCGCATTTGAGCAAGCTAGCGTGGCTAAATTTTATAAAATAGTGAGCGATGTTCTCATGACGTAAATTTCGTTTGGAACTTAATGTCTTTCTTAAGACATACTAACACCTCACAGAGCTTGGGTGACAGGCGACTTTCCATGCAATCATCTACTACGCGAATGATTATGATGCAGCGAACAAAATTTATACACTTAATCAACCATTAACTTAGATATCAAATTAATAAAATGCCCATGGAGCGGAAAAACGCTCAGTCGAATAAAACAAATGACAAAACAAGTATTGATCATCTCTTTTGATTGAAAATAGTCTCTTAATCACTGACCAAATAAACAAATTCAATTCAATTATCTAAAGACCATCCTATAGTGTTATGCCACTAACGATGCTATATAAATAAATGGTTAATTCTTCCAGTCATAGATATAACTTTCCTTTTAAGTGCAATGAAATTATTCTCCTCCGTCTCCAAGAGAGCAACCGAAGGTATGAAAATCTTCATTCAAGTCACATAGATAAATAACAGGAACAGTGTACGGGAAGTATTAACTGAACATCTGCCCCCTCCCTCCCGCCGCCCCCCTCGCCCCTCCCTCTCCCACGCCTCTACCCCCTCTCTCCCCCCGCCGCCCTCCCCTACCTCCCCCGCCCCCTCCCTCCCGCCGCCCCCCTCGCCCCTCCCTTCGTATAAAATCTGATTGTACCCCGTCAAACAGTCTCAAGTCATAATAAGCTGGGAAATCTGTCTGGAAACAAGTTCAGCTGAGGAAACCCCCGTAAAGTGAGTCACTGGTTTCCCGGAGGGATCTAACAAGTAATTATTATTATTAAAATATTTGTTTTATTAAATAACAGGTATCTGAGTGCTGCCCCGCATGCAATTCACAACAACGAATGAATAAATTCTGTAACCGATCACCACTGCCTTGCAGCACAACTACATTTGATAATTGTCTGTTCGCAGTGTTATCCAGAGCCATGTCTTGAGTGTCTGTTAAAACTGCTGACTGAAACTGAAATTTCTCCAGAGAATCCACTTTGGGTACGACCATCATCCTCCCGTCACACTCAATTAATTCTGCATCTGAACATGATTCTAAGGACAATATAGCGGCAATTTCTGTCAATAACTCGAGATCAATTTTAGTAACTCGAGTAATAGATTGATGATCGAAACAAACTAAAAACCACTTTTCAAGGAAATCTCCGCCGACCTGTTCAGTTTGTCCATCATCTCCAACCAACATGAAACCCTCCAGTGGATGAAGATCAGAGTTTACAAAATTTCTTTTGAAGATTGATCTGACCTCAAATATGTAGTCTAATAACGAGATAAGGAGAACAGTGCTACAAACTGTAAACGTAGCTCTGTAGAAATAGTTTCCTCTTTTTTCTTCTCTGTGGTTGAAAGTTGAAGTTTTAGTTCGAATTGAGGTTACTGCTGCAGGATTGAAGGATATAATATGATGGTATGCTACCTTTCTGTTGCAGATACAGGCTCTTGGATGATAAGATCTGATTTGTGTTATCTAAAGTGAGGATGTCAGGATTCTTTTATAGTGACCACTTAGTAACATGACCTGAAGTGAGGATGTTATTTGATTGCCACAAATTACTTGATTGTAGGTGAACGTTCTTGTTGAGAGTTCGTTAAGTTAGATTGTGGCATGAAAATAATATCATAAAGTTTGTTTTGTGAAAGGTTCGTCCGATTTTCTTTCAAAATTAACATTTACACGATTGAAGACATTCAAACAAATTGATGAAGTTTCCCAAATTCGAAATATACAAAAAAAGATGACAAAAAATCAAAAATAACACATTTCATAACACTACATTTGGTTTTTTATCATAAAAATCGCACAAATATCATACAATATAACATATTCAACAGTGATGAACAAATCCATGAATTGATGCAAGAATTTAAAAACATGGTTCACTTCGCAACCACAAGTCAACAAGTCAATAGCCTAATATCTTAATACATACCTTAATTTGAAATGTTTAGTGTTTAGTTTTAGTTTTAGTTCACATTCCACGGCTTATCTGGAAAGTGTACTTATTCATGTTCTCAGTCCAGGACGACATTTATTTTTTAAGTTAATCTTTATAATTATTGTATCACTGATAAAGAGTGTTTGTAAGTACAGACAATACGC